TATATATATATATATATATATATATATATATATATATGTATACACACACACACACACACACACACACACATATATATATATATATGCATGTGTATGTGTATGTATATGTGTGTCTGTGTGTGCATATATATATATATATATATATATATATATATATATATATATGGAATATGCAAACATGAATGAAGTAGGTCTATGGTTAAATTCCATTCAACAAGTTAATTAAGAATGTTTATGACTTCTGTTTTTCTTAGTCTTAAACCTTTGGATGACGAGTGTTATTCTGCCATCATATTATTTTAGCTATTTCTCAATGTTACAATTTCTATTAAATCACACTGTCTATATAACTGAATGGTTGATAACTCGGGAAGCTATATACTGACTCCCTATCTTACGCATACTCAGTTGTAGCCAATGGTTATAATATAAACTGTCTGATGTAGACAACTACAGATCCTAAGTAGAATATGCTCTAGCATTAAAAGATAACAAACTAAATTTGCAAGATAAATTTTCTTCTATTTCTTCCATTTTTTTCAATAATTTTCCTAAACCTTCACACAAAACAAAGGGATTTGTTAGCAAAATATTTGTCATCCATGCATTCGTTTCTCTTAATTAAACTACATCCCAACGATCAAGGAACAATTATGAGAATCCATTTTCGGAAGTCTTGAATTGAACTAACAACATCTGACTGCAAGAATTAAAGCACCAAAGCGAAACAACAAAAGGAAATATTGCAGCACCTATTGCTCGGATCAAAGTTTTAAATTGTCCTGACTCTAGCCCGTCTACTTAATTTTTACCAACACGAATTTTGTAGCGGCAACTAATTCGGCCAGAATGCACGATGCACATGTGTGCAAGTCTAGCATGGTCATCTTAGCCACAATTCAAAATCCTAGCAATGACCAAGATTCGTATATTAGTCATCCCACCAAAAGTCCATAAAAAATAAGAAAGAAACAATAGTTAATTCACAACAAAGAAACTGAAGAAGAAACAGTGTCACGCACCGTACTGCCCCACCGATCCTCCGGGTCGACCTGAGCCCCGCTGTCGAGCAGCAGCTGGACGACGTCAGCGAAGCCCTGGCAGGCAGCGACATGGAGGGCAGTGCGGTCGTCGATGTCCCGGAAGTTCACGTCGACCCCAGAGGCAAGGGTCTCCTCGATCCCGGCGAGATCGCCCTCGTTGGCAAGGTACATGAGGCGGATGTTGGCGTCGACCTCCTCCGGGACCTGCAGCCCATCGAGGTCCCCGGATCGAAGGGCCTGGAGCTCGCCGTCGTCGCGATCCGGCGCGAGCGACGACTGCTTCCCGAGAGTGAATCGCCCCGTTGACTTGGCCTCCATTCCCCAAAGTCAGACTCCGAGCGTTGGGCGTATCGAATCCAACCCTAGGCGAAAGCAGGGAGAATAGGATCGATCAGGGCTTCCGATGTTTGGCGGAAGACGAATCTGAATCGAGGTAAAGAAACGAGCGCTTCGTCGTCGCTGGCGGCGAATACTTATCACAAGAAAGCAGGAAAAGGACACGCTGATTCCTCGACACGAATCGTGACGCAAGTTCGGTAAGAAATCGTGGTGGGGACTCATCTTCCCGTGTGACTCCTACTTTTCGCGGGCGCATCAGCCGCTGGCACGACGCTTTCCACGAAGGGTGGAGGGTTTTTGTTGTGTCGGCCGAGTCAGGGAGCACGGAATTTGCCCGACTTCATCTGACGTCTAACGTATACAGTACATCCAATCTTAGTGTGTTCTGTGTCTCGAACGAAACAGATTAGTCACCAGACCTCGGATCCAGCAGCGTTATCTGTTAAAAAGGCCAGTGAACGGACGTGGACCACACGACTGTGACACGACGACAGCTGCCGATTTACGGCACGACTGTGTCCACCACATTGGTCGGCGGCATAAAAGAGTTATCAGACTAGATTGAGAATTAAATTCAAATGAAGGTTTAAATAAAGTCATCGAAAGAGTTACGGTATGATGATGATAATTGTTAGAAATATCTGAAGTTTCAAGCTCATTGTTATGTTAAGTATTTTTCCATCAAATGGGTGAAAACCATCGAACAGGTTGTAAGCATAAGAGGAATGCGTGTCTTAGCGGAGGGAAATGGCGGAAGAAGCATCTTAAAAGGGAAACGAGCAAGCTACTTATCATTGGAGAGGTGGCAGAGCTCCACGACCTCCCACGACTCCAAGCTCTGGTCCGCGGTGTCCGTCTTGGAAAGGGCGAGCGCCGAGACCTCGAAGCTGAGGCCGAGGATCCCCTTATCCAAAGCATCGACCCTCTGCCGAGCCCTCTCGTTCTCCTCGTCCGCGAAATCCCCGTACAAAAGGCATCGAGTCAGCTTTTTGAATCGATGTCTCAGAACAAATTAATGCACTTGATCTCAGAAAAGGGATCAAGGTAGGGAGAGAGGGCAGCGCAGGTGGAGCGGAAGCGGCGGAGGGCATCATCGGGGGCGAGGCCAATGGAGCCGACGACGGTGATGTGGGGCTCGAAAGCGGGGCCGCCGAACTCGGATCGGAGGGGGGACACGAGGCGCTTGAGCCGGTCCCGGACATCGTCCGGCGGGAGCGCCCACACCGAGTAGGCCTTCGTCGACGCCTTCATTGGAGCTCCAGCCATCGCTGCGGGGAAGGAGGGAGGACGGTCGACGCCGGCTGTGATGAGGATAAGCGAGCAAAGTGGCACCAACATGCGCCTGCGACATTTGCAGCTCAGGAGATTGTAACCCTTTTTGCTACATAAACAGGCATATAAGCCGAGATATAAAAGAATGAATACCGAGCTGTTTGCATGAAAGACAAATAATTAGGTCAAATAAAGGAGTCGCTTTTGGCCTAAGGGGAGACATTTATTGTATGCAATCGTCTTAAAGAATACTAAGTCTCACAGGTAAGCTGTAACACATGGTTGGACACACAACACCATCAAAGCTTCAACATCAAGAACTGTTTCTAATGTTACACATTACACTAACCATCTTGAACAAAAGAAACAACAAAAGAAGACGAATGAGAAAAAGGAAGACATCAACAAAAACCCTGTGATAAACAACATTTTATGTCTAGAAATGTACAGGAAGAACAAAACAACGCATGCTACCCGTAGAAAGAATGCCTCACAGGAAGGTGAATACAACAAGCAAGATTTGGACAAGTAACATCAGTATCAATAGTTCAACAAGGAATACTTTACACGGACAACAATCTTCCCCTTTTCAACCCCTAACTTAGCTCCTGTGACTAACCAGTGGCCTGGTACATCTTGTGGCCCCTTCAACATCTCTGTCATGTCAACAATCTTTGCAAGCTTGGAATTGTCCCCTGAAGTGGAAGATGAAGTGTCATCTAATTTCTGGGGGAAGGTAGGGCATGGATTATGATCCCATACTGATCTCCGTATGGTGCACCCAGGGACCTTGGAAAACAATAGTTTGAGGTGTAGGACACTCTTGGCACCGAAATCCCATACCCCCAGCTGAGCTCCTGTTACTATGTAGACGCCAGATAGATCACCAATGTTTGTTTCGGTACTCTCAATCGGAGCGGTGCTAACATGTGCAAAGTTCTTCCACTTAATGGGTTCAAACCAGCGGCAATCTTGCTCCTCGGGGCCGTGCCACTTAGGCGGGCCAATTGCAACATGGGAGTCCCAGTGAGGTAGGAATATCTTTGGTAAGGTTGCAAGATGCTGCAAATGGATGGCTAGTCGGTTTTGTTTGCTTCCTTCAAGGCTTAGCCTGAGGCCAGTGACGGGTTTACGGCCAACAGATACCTGCATCAAGTTATAAAAGTCAGCTACGAAGAACATATGTAGTTCGTACCTATTAAGGTGCCATCAGTTTGTATTAAATAACATAGAATACCACTATAAATAAGGCAATAAGAGAGTTTACGGAGAATATAGCTAACACAATATATTAATTATGTCAATCTTCCAGTGCTTTTTTCCTCCACTATTGTGTGCCAGTAATTTATACTATAGATATATACCAGTGTGCCATAAAGATCCAAGAAATCACTCGATTTCCATATAGGTAATAGAATTAATGAAGACATTGTTAAAGTTTTTTTAAGTTTTCACTCTTCTTTAGTAGGAGTTGTGTTTGTACATGTGTGTGTGTGTGTGGTGGGGCAAACAAGACTCGCTCCAATTAGAATTTCTCTGTTTCATATATTACTGAAGCCTAGAACAAGGGATCCAACTTAAAGAATAAGTTCTCTCAGGCTTTGCAACCAGCAACTACTACATTTTACGATGCATCAGCAAATTCAGAGAAAATAAACAGATCGGATAAATTTTTTTACTTCTTCAGGAAGTTGAAGTTCTGCTCACTGAAGCTATAGGGTAGAATTCTATCCAAAACTGGGTTTAGTCAATCTGCACAATAGTGCACAGAAGAAATGATGATCAGATGTTATACCACTGATACTATGCTCACATGCAAGCAATTGCTCCACTAACTGAAGCTTTATTACTACAATAATATGAATAATCATGGGCAATTAAATTTAGTCTGTTTGCTGATCCATAATAAAAAATATTTCATCTCGCATATGAAAGATGAGAGAGGAATATGCTAAACCATAAGAAGGCAATGTTGGTGAGAAATTAAGTAGGATTCATAATTCTCATACAACTGATACAAGATAAATTTCGTAAAATTTGTTTATAGAAAACAATAAAGAATTTGTATCCCATTACCTGTTCTGTGCTAATGTAGAGCTTGGGGCCCATTAAGCTGAACTGAAGAGAAGGGCATACAGGTTCCTTTCTCTGGTGTCCAGGAATGTTAACAGGTGCTGGAGCCCAAACTCTCTGTACTTGAAACTCCAAAAAATACTGCAGTTCCTCTATGGGGGGCTTATCTGGAGAAAGGTGTTCTATAAATATAAACATGAAATGGCAACCCCCAAAAATTGCCAAAAACACATGCACATACAACTCATCAACTCACCAATCAAGGTTCACAAAGTACAAAATTTCAACTCATAAATATTTGGTTGCTGAATTAATAGTAGATTTTGAAATCCCCATATTATGAAAGTCATGTTCACTGATAAGTTGCTTCCCTATACATCCTCTATTATGTAAGAATTAGTCTAATTTGACCTCGAAGTACTGATCTCATCAAAGTTTCAAAGCTTCAAATGGGGTATATGTTCTTCTCAATACAAGTTAAGAATAACAAAGATAAGTTCAATCAGATGAGAAAATTCTAGTAGAAAAATGTATTCAAAAGTAAAATCATCCTTGCGATAAATGCATCTTCAGTGAGTTCAACTATATATTATATGTTGCTAAGATTATACACCAGCTTTAGATAATGCTGCACATAAATATGATCTCCTCTGTTACCAAAACTAATTCAGCAAGTCTAATTAAGCACTATATAGGTCAATTAATTTTTTCTTCTCAAAAGCTTGAAGTACCATGACAACATATCATTTACCATGTAGTGGCATAGAAACTACTCCCAATTTAAACCTCTAGACTCCTTAAAGTTCAAATTTTGTAGAAAATCTTCCCAAAAAATGAATTATTCAGGCAATCCAGATGTCAATATTAAACAACAGAGGTGCAACAAAGAATTAACTAGCACTTACACTCCAAATATAAGTCAACAGCACGAGATAGATTCTGAATTCCAGGTAGTCCATTCAGAAGAGAAACAATAGGAAGAAAAGTCATATTGATGACATCTGGTGCTGAAGAAATGGTGTGCACCCACTCTGCATGATTTTGGACAAGATCATCACCGCCCCTCCTTCTAAAGATTACAGTAACATCCTGCAAAAGAGGAAGCATCACCTTAGTGATATTAAAAGAAATACTATTTACAGTATAGTATAGAATAGTGACAGACTTCCAGCAAACGGCTATTGCTTTGCAATCTCTCAAACAGCTAAAGATTACTATTTATATGCATGAATAATCTTGACATAAGATTGAGAACAGGGACATGCCTATTAAGTGTGGCGAACAGGCCCAACACAATTAACTTTTCTATTACATTAGTACCTAGCAATCACAAAATACTGACAATACTTTGCTTGAAAGGGAAAAAGATTTTAAAAATCTACTGTAGTTTGCTCCTGATTAGATTTATCAATCATTGTAGAGACGAGTATACTCTTTGGTTTGATATCCACTTCATAAGAATCTTCTTTTAGAAGCCCTTCTCCAAGTTTCTATCAATTGAAACCTAAACCATTAGTCCATGATTCAATTGCCTAAATTGAAGCCAGTTTCATACATCCTTTTCCATGCCTACATACCTCACTCCAAACTACCTTCACCTTTATGCCCCAATATTTCTTAATTCTTCTGTAAAAATCATGATCCTCTCTTTGCCAATGCTATGGTATATCACTATTTACTCTCACATACCAGTTCAATCAATTATTCATCATTTTATCCTTCAGAAAAACAATCTTATGCCAAGAACAGAACCCAAAAAAAAAACATAAATAATATTGCAATTTTCTTTTGGTCTGGTTCTCTCCATATGGCAAATCTATTGAGGATGGGACTAAAGAATAGTACAACAGGCAGATAAAAAGTTCAGCAAGAAAATTTCTAGAATCAAATATTCCTTCTTATAATTTTATAAGCACCAAGAATACTCTATTCCATGGGATCTTCCTGTTGCCACAGCCCTCATTTTTTCTTAGTAGATGTCTCTTCTCGACCACTGGGCACCCTACTGCTTTAACTTCACAATTCAGTTCTGACTCTAGGTTGCCCATAGCACTAGAAGGTGCCAAACAAGAAGCAACACATGATTGAATTATAGAAGATTCAGAATCAGTATAAATTTCATTGCTCAAAATTCAAATACCTCAGCTTTAACATGAGGATATTCTAAGCAATGTCAAAATACAAAGACCACAAAATATAATAACTGGATTTGAGCATCTGGTGAGGTTAATTCTATAAAATGAGGTTCCTTCCAATCTTATGTATGACATGTAAAATGTGAAAATATCTCCATAGCTTGCACATGGAAGCCTTTTGACAATAATGTATATCAATAACCAAATAAAAGTAGATGAATAAAGAAATAATTAACCTACGTATGATCCAGCTGGTTTTTAAGATATTACATTTTAGTTCATCACTTTGTGGGGTTAATAAATTGCAAATATATGTATCAGACAGAAGCTCTAGAACATTTTCCTCAGAGATGCAGCCCTAGATAGATGAGCTGGCATGTCAATGTTACTAATAGAAGATGGATATAGTATGACAATAATACATATGATGTAATACAGTATGGTATTTAAGACTACAGAAGGCACTGACCTTCTCTTTGTAATTCAAGGGGGCATTAAGCGTTTGGTGTTCCATGTTCAAGAATCTCTGATCCCCAATGTCCTTAACATACTTCTCAATTTCTGATTCTGATAACTGAGATGAATGGTGTTGCTTGATATACAATTCATCTTTACCACCAATAGTAACTGATGTGATAATATGGGTGCCAAAATTCTCAATGAAGCTGAACGAGGAGTAAATGAAAAACCCAACAATCAGATGAGATGAATTAAGTTCATTTCAGACGATTGATAACTTCCCTATGGAAGCCAAGAAAATATATAATGGAAAAAAAAGCTAGATATCCACCAAACAGATAGAAAAAATCAAAATCTAGTTTTACAATACCTAGTCATGATGAAAACAAGTCTATTACCTACTAACCTAGCCAACAGTGGTGGATCCCAACTGTGAGGAACAGCACGCTTGACATCATCCCGGAGCAATAAATCATCACTTATAAGTTTGGCTTTATATAAAGGAAAATAAAAACCATCCATGGCAAGGGCTTTCGTTGCTGCAGCATCGACTTTCCATGATCCAGTGAAACTGAACATTGAGTTAAAGCTACCAAGAGGTACTGTTCCAGATAAACCTGACTTCTTATTGAAATGCTCAGCCATCTGACAAAACAAAACAGCAGTAGTAGGTGGTTGCAGGGGGCACAAATGTGTTTATAGTAAAAAGTAATCCACAAGATGCAAAAACCGCTCTGAATCACACATGAAAATGGTATGAGCAAGTGTGTTAAATAAGAGATAATACTATTGCTTATTCTTACATTTGTAGATGAAACTGGCTCCAGTATATAGAACTGAAACAATAAAGCAAACAGCTAGTAGAAGTGTATCACACCAAAGTAAAAGCAGCAAAACCGATGTTACTATGAATCTACTAAATCAATATATTGTACAGGATGGAATTATTCTTCACAAATCTGCACAAGCGCTTAGGCTCTTTGCAATCTCATTATCAATAGAATGTCAATGACCACTTTAACTTCTCATCTCTTTTTCAATGAAAGTTCTTATTTTAATGTAAAAAAATTTGTGTCTACAAATTTCAGTTCCCAAAAGGTTAATAGGCATGAATATCATATGTTCCAATATAGGTTACCATACATCAGAGAGAGCAGACTTACTTGGTAATTAGCATATGGATTCTCATCTTTCTCATAGAGGCATGGATTTTGTCATGGAGTTGTTTGTATTAGAACAAGTCATAATGCATCAAATAACCTTGGTTACTTTGGAGAGCCTAGTAGCCAATTTGCAACAAATGACATATATACTGCTCCTTCCTAAGACCATAAAAATGTTCTTCATTACTTCTGCTAACATTAGGTCTAACTGCGAGCCAAAAACTCATCAGACAAGGAAAAATGGCATATTGATACCTGTGAGTAATCACCATTACTTGGAAAAGGCATTGATACTCATTCTCTGCTCAATCTAGAGACTGCTTGCATATGGAACCTATCAATATCGCTATTAATCCATTGCTATAACAAGCATTTATTCTCAGCAACAAGAAGAACAATTTTTACACTCAAATACTTGTATATGCCATGATTATTTCCTATTATTAACTCTGTAGAGGACAAAATCTTCGATTATCCAACAATCATCATGCCCTTAACTATTCCTAATCAAGTTTTTTTTTCCGTAATTCTCCGTCTCCCTGTAACAGCTGATTTTAGAATGAGATCTTTCCCAACTGGTTTACAGAAAATTCATTTTGCACATATCCAAACCACAAACGTTTTTCTTCAGAAAATCTTCCTCGAGATGCCTCTTTATGCAATTTTGATCCATGATCATACCCACCACAGACTATCCCTGCAGTCATCAGTTTTCTGCAAACCAGAATTGACTATTACATGCATAAAAAAACTCAGGTCTGAAAAATGACATCAAAACATACATTTCAATGAAAGCAAAATCCTTCCCCCAATTATTTGGTTCAATAGAGAAATAAGTTTCTCTCATCATTTGGTTTTTGTTGAAGCCAATGTCATTAGAAATGGTTATGATCTTGGTTATTTGGTATTCCTTTCTTACAAACCCTCTACTATTTCCTGTTTCTTTGAGGCACCTCAATATGATTCGATTCGCTTCCGTGTCAATGCATACAGAGATCTGTCCAAGTTCTGATCATATCTAAACTCTCCTAGATCAAGTTCCCCTTACTCTACCTTATTTGGCACTATTCCTAGCTTTCAGCTAATACTATAACTAGAACTACATATTTCAGAAGCAGGTCTCAACATTCTGCAATAGACACCTAAAATTATGATTTATTATCCTTAATCTTTGTGCACAGCCACTGGTTCAAATACGTTCTACTTCAATTAACTTCCTTAGAAGAATGCTCTAGTATATACATGATCCAGGGTAACAAATTTGTACAACAACACCCACAACAGAAGTTCCAGTGCCACCTATCCCCAACGCTCAAAGTAAATAACTTATCGCGTATTGCAGAGTCGCAGACCTTTCCATTAGTACAGCCTAAAGTAAAACAATAAAAGTTCTCTTAAGGAACTCATTTCTTCCTGATGACTACATACTCAGGACCTAGTGATGAATTAAGGAAGCCTATTGTTTGCATATGAGTCTATAAAGATGCATCAACTTTCAGACAAAGATGATCTATCATAGAGGAGGGCCCCTAAATAGAACATTCTACCTCTCTTTGTTCCTATGAACTCTCTCTAAATCTACACACATGGCAATAAAGAAGCTTGTCTAAGCATCAAACTCTCTTTAAATTCGCCACCTTCCAATAGTGGGCATAAAAGGGTTATCTGCGGAACAATGTCATCCTTGAAGCAAAAAGGTTCCTAATAATTAGTCCAAGTCTTCAGTAGATACTCTGAAATGTGCCGATTGATCTCTTTTTTCCTTCTTAGCACAGTAACAGTTGGACTCGTTCAACATTGGAGATGCTTCTCTCGGACATCGGACCCCATTTCATGAGTCAATGAGTAGAATTGATCAATATGCTTACTATGCTCCTTTTCATGTGCGATTCCTTTTCATTTTTCCTTAAGAAGGAGATGCATCGTAGAAATTATGAAATATGTGGAGAACTTAAGATATGCAACATTAGGCACTCTTCTTCTTCTGGTGAGTGAAAGTTTTATGTCCAGAACACTTTCCTCGAAGATATATAAGAACAGTAAAACAAAATCTCATGCAATTTACAAGCAGAATTTCTCAGATTAAATGGAAAAGAGAAAGTTCACATACAAACAAAAAACATCAAGCATTTCATTTCAGAAAAAAAAAAAAAAAATCAGAATCGACCAACACCTGATCTCAAAAAAAAAAAGCCCTAAAGGGGATTATTCCTGTCCCTGAGCGCAAGAACAGACCAGACCATATGACAAATCCCGAAAACTACGAATCCATTAGATGAGCCGGAATTACCTGTTGGAAATTACAGACGCGAGAGGGTTCCCGCCGGTCCCTCTCCCTGCAGATCTTGACGTCCAAGAGGACATCCGGGAGAACGATCTGGCCGATGCTGCTGCCGCTGCCGCTGCCGCCGTCGTCTGCAATGACCAAGCTCCTCGTCCGCGTGTCGTCGAGCAGGACGAGGCGGGACCCGGGCGCTCCCTTGCAGTAGAGGAGCCGCGCGTCGGAGGTGACGTCGAATCCCCGGCCGAGCGCCTGCACCGCGTTCGTCAGCGTCGCGATCAGAGCGTCCGATTCCCCCGCTGCCGCCGCCGCCCGTAACCTCTCCATGCGAACAACTCCGCCTGACTCGACGCAGTAGCAGTGCTCAAGCGCATCACACAAGGGTTCGATCCCATCTCATGTCGTCTCTCTACCTTCTCCGCGCCCCCGTCCACCGCGCCACCCTCCTTCCTGAAAAGGAACGAGCTTTGTTCTTCCAAGGGAGAGCGCGAGACGAGAGTCGGCGAAAGATAGGTTGGGGAAGAAGGGCGATCGACGACGGGGGAATGGAATGGGGGCAGCGAGGCGCGAGAGAGAGAGAGAGAAGGGGGATTGGTTTCTATGGAGTGCAGAGGGGGTGGACTTTTTGACCGCCGGGATCGTCAGAAACAAAATAAAAAGAACGCGTTTTCTAAGGAGGATTAGGAGTTGACCGGTCCGCACAAACAAATGACCAACTACGCATCCCATCGCTCCCTCGCTTCGGTGGACATCCCTCGAGGGTTTGGTGGTGCGGATCCAATCAGCAAAGTTCACGATCTCCATTGGTCTGATCCAAAGCTCAGACTGTGGGACCCACGGTATGGACGGACGAGAAGGATTTGTTTCCTGGTTGATGTCTCGATCGAGGCAGCTGATGTGTACCATGTTTCGGTCGGTCGGATCGCCCGGCAAGTGAGGACTCATGCATGGTTGGGTCGCATTCCAACGCTTGGTCGGCTCTCCACGCAAAGCTGCAGGCGACCCACACTTTTCCTCTGGCAATACAAAGACAGATTAGACAAGATTGACCGGGAACTGTGCATGTAGAAGCCACTCCGGTCAGGAGAAACGTATGGTCAACAAACAAATACACGTCTCGTGATCCGCTTCTTCAACCGAGGCAAAAAAAAAAAAGGTAAGAAGTCAACCACCCCTTGCAGCCATTTACATTTGGAGGTGTAAGCGTAATCGAGAATGTCCACCAGCATCTATCTCCCTTCTTCCAGATCTGCGCGCCACGACATGCGTCCATCGTCCTCGAGCCAGATCGAAGCAGGTGGCAGCATCAGCGCCGCAAAAGACTCCGTCATGCCTTGTGTGCATCGCAGTGAAACATCAAAGCAACTCAGGACGATACAAAGTAAGCATGAAAGGTTCGAACCTTATTCAATATAAGCACGAATGATCGGATTGTCTTACACTACATACTGCAAATTTCAAACAGAATGGAGTATCTACTCGACAAGTTCTCCTGATTCAGGTTTAGCACATCCCGATCGAGTCTTTTTAGCATCTTCAGTTCTGATAAAGTGAATCTAAATTGAGAGGGTACAGATCGGATGATGATGTGGTAGAACCATGGACAGATCCCCCCTCAACTAAGATGCTCTTGGTCCGGCTGTCTCCTGAACTTGGGTATCGTTTTCCACTTACCTGGATCTCGAAATCATCAGTCGAGAAGATCTGCTCTGGCGTGGCATCTACAATACTTGTTTGGGCTTCCACCAGCATGCTTACCACAGCAGACATGGGTGGTCTTGGCACTGGTGATGAATTTATGCATAGCAGACCTACATTTATCAACCGAATCGCCTCTTCCTTGTTGAAATCCGTTCCCAGTCTCGGATCAACAAATTTCTCCAGCTTGCCTTCCTCTCTCAGGATTTGCACCTGAACCACCAGGGTGAAAAGAATGTGGTACAGGTTATTTCTAGACATAGTAGCTAGTCTCTTAGATCAACAATCAAAGATGTGGTACAGACTATTTTTATCAACAGTCAAAGATGTGGTACAGATTATTTCTATACATAATAGCTAGTCTCTTAAATCAACAATCAAAGAAAATACTGGAAGTCAGATGGGAAATTGGACAGCTATGCTTACAATCAAAGATGTGGTACAGATTATTTCTATACATAGTAGCTAATCTCTTAAATCAACAACCAAAGAAAGTACTGGAAGTCGATGGGAAATTGGACAACTATGCTTACCCAGTCCAGAAGATGCATGCCGCCTTCCTTTCTGAAACTCATGACGCTGGTTCCACTAACAAGTTCCAAAGTGACAACCCCGAAGCTGTATACATCCGCTTTTTCAGTCAGGTAACCGCGGGTAGCATATTCCGGTGCCATGTATCCTCTGAGACACCAAAATTAGTCTATAAGGCTTGCTGAATGATGCCACAAAGCAGAAATAACGCTTTTTGTAAATTAAACAGGCACCACAGAAAACGATTCCTTCAAATACTGTTGAACTGATAACTTGATAAAACATTAGCTCTTTAGCTGGCAGTTCAGACCAGAACTTCGAGTTAGATCTAAGCAAGCATGGGAAAATTGATCATAAGCTAGGAACAGATTTTACTTGTAAGCTAAGCCTCACCTTTGTGAAGCTTTCATTTGAGGACCATGTTTGGTGCAAACCAGGGCATCTGAGTTAGCTACCAATAAGTGAATGTAAATCTACTTCACATATAGTATGGAGATTGATTTAATTCTTTCTTGAGGTCCGGTGGCTTGCAGATGAATCACACGTTGAGAATAGAATAAAAATATATAAAATACAAGTGATAAGAGAACAACTAAAAGCATAGGCTATGTTTCCTATGAGATTTAGCGAAACAGAAACACGAATATAGCTTTTGAAGTAGATTGTTTTGGATCCAAAGAAAGCTGGTGCAACAACCTTGTTATATCAAATTAAATTAGTTAAACAAAGTGAAGGCATTTTCAGTTTCAAAGGCAAAAAATAAGGATCGAAATATAACCCAACAATATGGCAAATTAAAATTTAATCCATCATCCAAAGGCAAGAGGAATAACAAAGGATTGAAATATATTTAATAATTAAATATAACAAAGGCAAGAGGAATAACATAAAAAGACTGTAAGCTGAATTCACTACACAAAATCTAATTTTATCTTTTATGGATGACTTCACCCCATAAATGTCCAAGGCCATAAATCCAGTTTACTTTCTCTTAATCAAACAATTGGGTTGACTTCTTTTACATAGACCATTATCACATTATTTAGCACCACTATCTTTTCTTTAAACATTCAGGACCATTTATTGTTGTTCTTTTCAACCTGTCATTTTGTCCTACTAGCATATATAATGGTCTCGATCTTAGTTCATAATGCAGCATATGAAAAACAAAATCATGCACCAGTACTAGATTTGATGAGGAACAATTTTAGAAATATTGATTTTAGCACTAATAGCCCATAAAAATACTCCATGAAATCTCACCTGAGCAAGTATCGGTGAATATTGCGAATGCATAGAAGTGTGTGAATGAATCACTAACAATAATTTATCTATTAGTTGTACTTGTATGTTGATGTTCCATGCAAAATGACAAAATGATCTCATTATCAGTATGAAAAGCTCAAAAAGATAAAGTGAAAAATTAAATGAACTTCACCAATTTCTTCTTCCAATAGTTTCAAGGATCAATACTGTAGGACCAAAGTTATGTTCATTGGCGGAGATACACAAGTATACCAGGGCTTCGATGAGATATAGTAGTGTTGATTGCTTACACAGTTCCAGCTATTCGTGTGCTGATATGAGTGTTTTCCTCTTCATCAAGCCGAGCCAAACCAAAGTCGGATATCTTAGCATTAAGATTTTTGTCTAGCAGTATATTGGTTGCTTTTATGTCTCTGTGAACAACCTTCAGTCTCGACTCCTCGTGGATATATGCAAGGCCTTTTGCTATGCCAATGCAAATGTTTTTCCTTGTTGACCAATCAAGTTTCAGTTGATATTCTTCACTCCCTGTAACATTAAATATATCGAACTCAAATGTTTTCTACTCTTTTGTTAAATATAGCAATTATCATATGCAAAGGTGAGCAAAGGAAAAGAATTCCACTGACCAAAAAGAGCGCGAGCAAGACTGTTATTTTCCATATACTCATACACTAATAATAACTGATTTCCTTCAATGCAGCAACCATGAAGTTTTACAAGATTTGGATGCTGCAATGCAGAAATCATGCCTAACTCATTTAAAAATTCACGATTTCCTTGTTTTGATTTGGAAGAAAGTTGCTTCACGGCAACTATTGTACCATCTGGTAACAAGCCCTGCATTGAATACAGAATGAATATTCATATCATGTTCACAGCACTAGTAAAGAAGACAGGCATACTTTTTAAGTTACAACTCTATAAACGTGGGAGAAGAGTCTAAAAGAGTTTGGACATATTATATATCAGTTATGCAAATTGAGTAGATTTACAGTAGAGGTGAAAGGAGAAATAAGAACAAAAATATTGATTAGGATCAAATGACGTCAAGATGCGTGAATCGTTTAGTTAAATTCCATCTGAATTGACCCACATCAGGAGTTGAAGTTAGGCAAAATCAGTATGCAGGATCAGATCGACCTAACTTGTGGTTAAAACTTAAAAGGCCCATTGTAATCAACATTTTGACCAATAAGTTTTTATGTTAGTAGGTGACAATTGACATCAGAGCATTAGTCTTTCCAGGTAGGTTGACACATGCCAAGGTGAATGTTGCCTCTGTGCATACTGGTGTTATGCTTAGATTGGTCCTACCAAGGATTTAATTTTTGGCATATTTCAGTCATAATTATGGAACATAAACATATTAATTTGTCTTACTTTCTTGTCAGTACCAACTCAAAAAAATAGATCAGTACAGGGAGCTAGTTTACTAAATTAACTCCTTTTGTGTATAAAGTTTGTCAAGACTTCAACTTGATTCACCCCAAAATTAGACAATCTATATGGGTACAAAGGCTAAAGTGGATTGGATGTAGAAAGAGGAAGTAAAAGAAACAGACAAGAGGATTCGATGAAAGCATGCTAGAGAAAGAAAATTGCGAAGAAAAATAAAAATTAAAGATATACATTTGATGCAATCCTTCCCAGCTACCTCTAGTCACTTCAGGTTGCTCTCCATGTCTTCTTGTATATTTTTCCTACTATTGAAGTAAAATTACCATCATGGTTCCAGACCAGAGTTTTGACTCACCTCTCCTTGAGTTGATTGAAAGTTTGAATGAGTTAACTTGTTTAGATTTTGTGAAAACTCAGTACCTGATGCAGCTGCCTAAGTCAAACTTCATCTGACTCAACGAGTTATTCGGAACAACAGAACAAGTTATTGAACTGAGCTGAGTTGAAAAGGCTAATATCACATAAGTAATTAGAAAACGTGTTGAGCATTTATTACGATAGACACTAGTCTTCTATGAAGGATGTTTAACTTTAACATATAAGAAAGTTGATTTTATCATCCCATTACAAGTTAGAAAAACAAATACAACTTTTTTTCCTCACTTGGAGACTTCAACTCATCTTCCAAATTCCAAGTGATGAAATACAAGTCAAATTAATTTGCTTCATGGTATTTGGCTGAACTCTTATATATTGCCATATCTATTTCCTTGTATTTGTCATAGGATGGTTATGAAGATTTTGCAATTCAATTTCAGTTTTGGGAACGTAATTATAAACATAATTATGCAAATCATTAAAAATATACAGAAAACTTATATATAAGTTTTATAATTAAGACTTGAACTTAGTCAAGACTGAGTCAACTGAACTCAAACAAAAGTCAAGTCAAGTTTCTGTGATTTTGAACATAGTTCTAGACATAGTGACTCAACAATTACCTTATAAACTGGTCCGAAACCACCTTCTCCAATCTTGTTAGAAGCACTGAAGTTCCCAGTAGCCATTTTTATTTGCCTTAAGGTAAAACGTCCAGTCCGCAGATCTAAAGCCCTCAGCTCTGTCCAACAGGAAGAAACTAGCATTATCAAAATAAGTCACACAGCTTTTGAAGCAGTGATAGCAGAGACATGACCCTAAAAGCCAAAGAAAAGCAATGAAAGAAAAAAGTCATAAATAATCGAAAACAGTCGCTTCCATGTGACACATAATCAAACAAATTATCTGTTATAGAGCATAAGCATATTTATAACAAGTACTTTTTGGGAATAAATCCTCTGAGAAATTGCACTTAAAAATAGCAAACAGTACATAAACAATCTGCATCAGATTTTCACAAACATTTGCTCTATAAAAAAATTGATTTATGATGAAAGCCACAAAGATTCGTAATTCTCAAACAAACCAAAAGAATGCTATCTTATTTTCTTTGAATCTATAAACACCATAATTAGAACTTCATGAAAGATATAAATTTGTTTATCAATTGATGTTATGAATGAATGTGGATCTACATTTAGTTCTAAAATTGAACTGAAGAAATAACAAGAAAAAATGTTCCCATCACTTAAAAGACTATAAACTTGCTCTAGCAGATATCACCTTATAACTGATAAAGAGAAGTCAAAAGTGTATTTTGTCCCACATATTTAGAAGGTGCTTCAATCTTACCTCTATCTTTTGCAGTTTGGCCTCCAAGCCAGCCTTTCTTCCACAATATACTCAATAACAAGAAGATCAGGCATGATACTGAAACAATGATCCCTACAATAATTTTGGTACGCTTTCCACTACTTAGCGAGAAATCTGCAGTATTGAAAGCACATCAAGCTGGGAAGAACACCATCATCTCATATGATGATCCATCCAAATAATTGAAAACACAACTCATCTTAATATAACTTAATTGTAAAACAAAGTTGCATGGTAAAAGAGAACAACAGTCCATTAAGTACATATATAAGTAGAAAGGAGACAGAAAAACTCAATCAGTAAGGTGTAAGAATGAGTCTTGCACAAGGAAAACCAGAAAGTGTCTTGCTCTTAAAGTCCTATTCAATGTAGGTATTGTCTAAGATAACTAACTGATCGAAGTATAAGTTCATAAAGCAGATCGTTTAATTTACACATTAACCAAAAATCATCAACCGATCAAGATTTAAAATAGTAAGGAAGAACATAACAATCTTCAGTTTAGTTGTACCAGAAAAACTTCAAACATTGCTCACAATCAGTAAATAATAAGAACATGCACTCAGATGTTTAGAAAATATTACATACTAGGTTCCACTGAAATAGCTGATATCAGAGGACCATAGGTCCCACGAACCGGAAGAGATTGTGTTCCATTGCCAGCCCAATATAAATGAATCTCAAGTTTGTCTGTAACCATCACATTAGTACTCTTGATAATAGCATTACCAGACCCATTAGCCTCATCCCTGATATTGAAGTCCTTCCAAACAAGGTTTCCCTGTACAAACAAATATTATTGGACTAAAATCTGAGTATGTCTATGCGGGTTGGTATCCATACGATGTGTGTGGATATTCATGATTTTATGTATTTATGTATCTATGCCCTACATGTGTCTAGAATATAGACAAATAGATGAATTGATCTGATGAAGACCTGAATGTAAATATCAAAAATCCGTTTGCCAAGACTGCCATATCCATCATTAGTGATCTTTATCTCTGCAAAGTGAAGTTTGACAGAGTAATTCCCTTCTAATAAACAAAGCCCATAATAAGTAAGGGAGACAGGAGAAATGCGTGCGTCTTTAAACAAATCTGAGTCAGGCATCGAAAGCTTCAAAGAACTTGTTGCTACCACATATGCATCATTGTCATTATTATTGTCCATGAAGACACCTGTGCTACTGAATGCCCAGTTTTTGTTAGAACTCACAAAGAAATTTGATGCACCATCAGACTCACTATCTTCTTCATATGTTGTCCCATTATTATTTATATGTACACTGCGCCCTCCACAGTTTATGTATAACGATGATTGACCTGTAGCAAATAAAATGATTAAAAAGATAAATGTTAATCAAATGCAATTTAGAAAAAGAAACACCACAACCAAATATGATGGTTACATTTAGTATATCATATTTGCCTAATCAGGCAAATGCAAATTCTCAGAAATTTATTTTGTTCGAGACATCTCAATGATCTTCAACATTAGTACAGATCTTTTTCAAATTATGATGAGTTGCATGAGCCGAGGAATGGAACCAAAATCTATACCAAGCATACCATGTCCACATCAAACTTGAATGTGAACCAGCCAATTTTTACTGGCTTAGTTGGATCAAGTTTAATCTTCAAGGTTAGAACAGTTCTTTTTCAAAGTAATGAAAGATGAGTTGCATAAGCCAAGGGATACAACCGCGGTCTATACCAAGCACACCATGTCTGCACCAACCTGGCATGGGAGCTAGCCAATTTTGGCTGCCTGTAGTCAGATCAAGTTTAAAGTCCCATGTATATAACCCTGCCTCTTTGGAGTGTGGAGATGATGATGCTCATCCAAAAGCTGATAAGTAGAATTATCGCATCCTTGAGTCAGATGCATGAGCAGCCTTAACCACATTGCTTTGAGCCCCTTGTCTTATGATTAAAGAACAATAATGGTAATGGTATCACATATAGAACAAAGGAGTATCAGCAATATATGAACAACATATACAAGAGGTCCCACTGAACTGTTTATAGGTTAATATTTTGATCATACCTAGGTGGATGGTGCACAATAATAGGGTTTGTTTATGACTTGATTTGTTGAGTGATGTTGCACATACTTTATATAAGCTAACTCATGGTAGTCATTATTCATGCCATCATTGCTTAATATTTATTCATGTTATATGACAATTCCATCTAGTTATATCATGTCATTGACTTGTTTTGGTAGTGCTAACCAGTGATTTAAAAAGCGCTAAGCGCCAAGCGGCAAAAAGCGTCAAGGTCAAAAAACGCCCGAGGCGCTAGGCGCTCGCCCAAGAGAAGCGAGACGCTAAAATATAAAAATATATAATATAATTAATAAATATAATTATTTAAATAAAAAATATGCTATTAAATAAATAAAATTTAATGGTATTAAAATCAAAATAATATATTATTAATCTAATAAATAAAAATATTATTATTAGTATATAGTTAGAAGTATACTGTTAACAGTATAATGAGAAGAGTGTGAGAAGACCGAGGCTGCTGTGGCAACGACAGCGGTAGCAGGTGGCAGTCATAGCTGGAGCGAGAGCAGCGAGCGACGGCAATAGCGAGAGCAACGACGACAGCGGGAGCGGGAGCTGCGAGTGGTAGCGGGAGCGGCGATAACAGCGACGAGTGACGACAACAACGACGAGCGACGATTATGGCAGCGGCGAGCAGCGATTGTGGCAGTGGCGAGCAGCGACAATAGTGGCGAGCAGCGACAGTGGCAACGGCAACGGAGAAGAAATCTCGGCGGCAAAATCGTGAGTGTTAGGGTTGGGGAAGTCGGGGAAATCGCGAGAGAGCCTGATATCGGTGATTTAGATGGTTCGATTGAACCAACTAAAGCATTGGAGACCAACCAGACCTAAAAATCTGGTTCGGTCGCCTGGTTTAACCCGGGCGCTCGCCCGAAGCGCCCGACGCCTGGGCTCGGGCGAGCGCCTAGGCGGTGCCCTCTTTGAAGCGAGGCGCCTGGACATGAAGCGAGGCGCTCGGGCCTCGTCTCGCCTCGCCCGAGCGCCTAGGCGGGCACCCGAGTGCCTATTGAAATCACTGGTGTTAGCCCCCTAAAAGGCATATGATAACCATCTAGAAGTTCATATGCATGACACTCCTTACTGGACGGTAACCAAGTGGCAATTATTAACCACAACCATTCTTTATTTCTTAAAGATTTAGATAAATTGTTTGAAAAATAAGATAGGTATTTTATTTCGATATAATTCATGGTCCTAAATAGAGCTCAATAGCATGAAAAGAATAACTGATACCATGGCATGTTGTTTTTGTACGATTTGTATTTGCCATGCCACTGGTATAACCAACATAGATGATACTAGATATCTTAAAGCAAGACCTTCAAGACAAAATCATAGCTCCAAGAAAAGGAAAACCACGAGAAGAAGAAAATCTACTGGTATTTATGGTGCATGAGATTCTTAAGACTGACCAGTGAATAACATAACATTTAAAGAAAAACTTGACTATTAGCTTCTTTTTGTCCTAAATTATAAAACAACTAACTAAATAAATTTCCTTGAGCTTTCGTAGCCTAATAGACTTGACATTATGACCATCTGTTGTTTGACATAGCAAAGCGGATGCCAAATTTGACGTAGAACAAGTTTAAGGAAAAAACCATGAATATTCATGGTTCAAAGATGATTGACAGAGTAAAAATTAAAATAACTTCTCCAATAAAGTTTAGACCTGAAAATCTAAGATCGAATACTTAATTTTACATTTAAAAGAAGAGAATCAGGCTAGTCTCAATCTGGTAACTGAAACTGTCATAACTTGATCTCAATTTTCCCATAAAAGTTTCAATAAGGTATTGTCATGGACAAAACCGTAAAAAGAGTTTCCAATGAAATGCTCGTGTATGTCTATCTTTCGGTCTTGTTCATGCTTTGCATAGCATGTAGAGAGCTTATAGTAGGCTTGACAGCCCAATTTTGGTTGGCTTTTGTGGTCGTTTCGGGCTCGTAAACGTAAGTTGTGTGCAGTCGTCATGTAGAGGCAAAACTACCTAAAAATAGATCATCCAGACAGTCATTTTGGAGGTTAACTCCGTATAGTGGTACGGAATGTTAGCCAGCACAGCACCCAGGAGCTACCCAAGTGGAAAATGGCTAGATGGGCCTTCGAGGTAGTGTCTAGAGTTGGTTCGTTGTCTTGTTCCATAGCAACGTCATGTGGGCACTTGTGGGGACTGGTCGCGAAGAACCACCTTGGACCCTTTGTCACACAACCGTTCAGAGCTTGCGAAATCTATTGTTGTAATTTGTATTGTTTATCAAGTGTTTGCGGAAATGGCTACTTATAGGATCCCGATTTAAATGTTTCCTCTAACTCGTCTTCTTTTTTATAGGTCCTTAACAGACCATAAGAGGTTTCGAGGAGGCTGACCCTTTGCGAATAGACATACAAGGGTGTCGCACGATTTAAACAAAACTAGCTAAGTTCGTGATAGATACTATCAAAGCGGGGTAAGTACACATAGAAATACTTGGAATGCAAAAGTAGGGGACTTAGTAGCTCTGCATTGAGGATAGCCAGCACATGTGACCTTTGAGGAAAACGGGTGTTGAGACATAGAGAAGGGAGTCTCTTAGAGGAGCGGGCATCCGAGATTGGCATTCAGAGGAATGACTAACCTTTCACGTGATAGGCACCACAAAGACAAGCAAGCTAGGAACTAGGAAGGACACGTAGGACACAAAGGTTATGATGGTTGAGTTCGAGCAATAGCTCAACATTGGCAACCAAACTTGATGGTGCTCAAGGCAAGCGGGGCACTTAGCAAAGAATAAGACCATGCAAGGAGGGATGGGTTGCTTGGCGACCTTAAGAGTTGTGCAAAGCTCACAGAGGTGAGAGGAATTGCTAACTTGAAGAATTAGATACTCATGCAAGGGTTTGTATGCGAATGATGGACTATCCGTGGCCGTCCCAAGGAGACTGAAACTCGATGCCATAGAGCATTGAAACTTTCTCTTTGGTATGGAAAGGATGTTCGTAAGAGTCTAAAGTGTGCAACAAGTTCAGTATGTTGCTAGGCCTTAAGGGGCGCAATTGAGGCTGTATTGGCGAAGAATTGCAATCTAGCAAGTGTATTCGCGAGGGTGGAACAATGCCCAATTTATTCAGCAAGGCGGAGTAGTCAAAGGGGATGGTGGTCTCCTAAACTTCTATTGGGAAGGATGCGAAGAGAATAGTTGCTCCAATGAGACATATTTCAAGAGGGATAAGTCTCAGTTCTCCAAAGAGAGAATCATGTATAACGGACTGCACATGTTAAGGAGGGGTACCTTAAGACAACTCTACAAAGCTCAACGGACCGAGCGACTAAGAGTCATCGTATGACCTCGCACGAGGTAATGGGGAAGCATTGCGAGATCAAATGGGGAAGCAACCTAAGGCAACACCAAACAAAAACATACTTACATGTGGAGATTGGACTCAATGGAGAGCTGACCTATGGAATGGTTAGCGAAAGGTCCACCATCAACTCAATGGAGAGATCGCAATTCAAGTTCATCCTATAAAGATCAAAATGCAATGAAAATATTACTAGGAGGCGACATGGTGCACCGAATCATTGTGGAATAGTTTGAGACTATACGACACACACGGGAGAAGTCCCATGAGGGACTTGATCATGCAGCGGTATGATCGGGAGCTACTGGGAGCTCCACTTCGGTGAATAACATAACAGCAAGAAGACCTATAGATTCAAGGAGTGAATGTCATGATACCGCAAAGGCGGGTCTTCCGTGCGTATATCGAATTTTACATTGGATGAAAGTCTTGGTCATCAACATATGAGGGTTATGTACCACCGAGGGAGAATTTCGAGTGCAAGTACCAATGAGTCCCATGGGGAGACTTGATCATACAGAGGTATGATCGGAGAAGTTGGAGAGTTAGATTGCTCCATAGCTCAAATTCGCTTAAGAGAGCCCAATAAGTCAGAGGACAAAGCTGAGTAGGCAAACATTGGTAAAAAGGACGTAAATGAGAACAAAATCGACACAAGCCTTACAACATGATAGTAGAAGCCTCGTATGGGAGTTACAATCTATCTTTCCATCAACCTTGAGGAATTGCTTAGAGAACACAAAGGTATTTAAGTAAGTGGTCGAAAGGGGTAAAAATGTGATGACAAGTCTAGAGGGACTTAACTACCCAAAACTAAGAATTGGTTAGAATGCAGGCGGACTCAGAAGAGTGTCATAGTGTCGGGCAGATCTACCGATCGTGAAGAAAGGGACACAGATGTGAGTTGATAGACGGTAGGGTCATAGGCATGACAACGCCAAGGTACTACAAAGACGAGACTTCCATGGAGTCATCAATCCCTTGCTCTTATGGAGGGAGAGCATTTGGTCGTGAAAGAGGCTGAGGAGGTGGAGAATGTAAAGACAAACTCCAAGTACCAAGACAAGGTTGAAGAGCAAAGGCTAGAGAACTTCGTAAGATCAATGTCAACGGGCTTCTTATCAAAATAGTCGAAAATATAGGATTTTAGATCGATGCAAGAGTGCTCGACCAAGGAACGACGTAAGCAATACGCGACGCTATACCTATTATACTCAGAGGAGTAGGTGACAGAAATGATGAAGAATATGGTACAATCCAGAGGCAACCAAAACTATTTGAGACTTGCTCCAAGTTAGGGTGAAATTTTGCTCTTTTCGGGCAAAACTTCTTACATTCCAAAAGTTATATGGCAATGAGAAAGTGAATAATAATAGCTAACTCAACACAAGGAGCACAAACACTTTGAGTGCTTTGGAAATGTGAGTAAAGAGCAAGCGAAGGCTAATAACTATCTCGATGCATGAAGTGCAACTCTCGAGAAGGCAGGCGAAATCTAGTAACCTTTGCCTTCTAAACTCCTAAGAGAATTGGTGAAACCAAGTACCCCAGTTCTCTTATTTATCGAGCAAAAAAGCTCTGCAAAGCAACAAAGGTTTAAAGATTCTTTGAAAAAACTTAATAAAAGACAACTGTTGTCAAATCCTCACCGATGGTGATCGATGCTACCGAGATTAGATTATCCGCTTCATTTCCTAACAGAATGTCAATCGAAAACGGAAGTGATACGAACCTACTTGGAGGCAACAACTAAGTGGAAGACTTCAAAGTTTGCGAGGCGATGCTCATTAAGGCTCCAACAAGCATCCACCCAGTTCATGCAGTACGAGACATTTGAGAAACTGGCACATAACAAGGAAGATTTTTTCCTTCAAAGGATCCGTAGGAATCAATAAAGATCAACACAACTCAACCAACCCCACACCAAAGTCAGAGTCATTGGCAAGCTAAACCAGTGTAGCGGATCAAAGTTCGATTACTCAACAACAACGGCAGAGAACAGCTGGGAGCCAAGAGATATGTTGCAACTAAAGCAAAAGATTAAAGATTCAACAAACACGAAGAGATGTAGCATCTGCAAAGGCTTCGATAAGGACGTCGACAGAATAAGTAGGGGAGAATACCATGGGCAAAGCTGTAAATGGGGTGTTCGATGTAATGCTCATCTATATCCTTATCTTTCAGGTTTGTTCATGCTTTGCATAGAATGTAGAAGGCTTACAGTATGGTTAGCAGCCTCATTTTGATTGGCTTCTACATTTGTTTCAGGCTTATAAACATAGGTTGTGTGCAATCGTTGCACAACAGCAAAACTGCCCAGAAACAGGCCATCCAAGTAGCTATTTTGGGAGTTTTCTAACTCTGGAAAGTGCTGTAGAGTGTCAGCCAGCATAGCACCCAAGAGCTACTCGGGTGGCACATGGCTAGATGGGCCTTTGGGTTTAGTGTCTAGGGCTAGTTCATTGCCTTGTTCCACAGTAGTGTCATGTGGGCACTTGTGGGGACTCTTGACCATAGTGGATCACCTTGAACCCTTTATCACGCGATCGTTCAGAACTTGCGAAGTCTATAATTATAATTTACTATCAAGTATTTGCTAAAATGGTTGCTTGTGGGATCCCGAGTTAAACGCTTCCTCTAACTTGTCTTCTCTTTTGCGAGTCCTTAAGGGACCATAAGAGGCTTCGGGGAGGCTGACCCTTTGCAGAAAGACACGCAAGGGTGTCGTACGACTATTTGAGACTTGCTCCAAGTTAAGGTGAAATTTTGCTCTTTTCGGGCAAAGTTTCTTACATTCCAAAAGTTAGATGGCAATGAGAAAGTGAATAACAATAGCTAATTCAACACAAGGAGTGCAAACACTTTGAGTGCTTTGGAAATATGAGCAAAGAGCAAGCGAAGGCTAATAACTATCTCGATACATGAAGTACAACTCTCGAGAAGGCAGGCGAAATTTAGTAACCTTTGCTTTCTAAACTCCTAAGAGAATTAGTGAAACCAAGTACCGCCAGTTCTCTTATTTATTGAGCAAAAAAGCTATGCATAGGTTTAAAGATTCTTTGAAGAAACTTAATGAAAGACGACAGTTGTCAAATCCTCACCAATGGTGATCGATGCTACTGAGATTAAACTGCCTGCTTCATTTCCTAACAGAATGTCAATCGAAAACAGAAGTGATACGAACCTACAAAGATCAACAAAGATCAATACAACTCAACCAACCCCACACCAAAGTCAGAGTCATTGGCGAGTTGAACCAACGTAGCGGATCAAAGTTCGACTACTCAACAACAACGGTAGAGAGCAGTTGGGAGCCAAGAGATGTGTTGCAACTAAAGCAGAAGATTAAAGATTCAACAAACTGTCACGTGCTTAGCTGGAATTGCCTAAGTCATGAGGCACCCATGCGGCCAAGTCGCGAAGCGCCCAGGCGTCAACTTCTCGGACTTAGCTGGGATTGCATAAGTCATAACGCACCCTTGTGATATGCGTCCGCAAAGGTCAGCCAATTTGCAAGAAAAATAAAATCAAATATGCTTCAAAATGTGTTAATGATGTATCAAATCATCCGCAAGAAAAAACTTGCAGAAACAAGATATGATCCAATCTCACTTTCTTGTCTAGGATTCCTACCTATTAGCATGTTCTCACACCATATATCGCATTACGACATAACAAAATGATAACTCAGTTTTATTTCTGGAACCAATATATTATACGGAACATGCATGAATATGATTAAAGGTCCAATTTTGTTTATCAACAATAAGGTTGTCATTACATTGAAATGATTCATGTTGCCTAGTTGATATACACCGAGGAATGTGAAACCATAGATATTGATACACCGAGGAATACCAGAGACAGTACAATACAAATAATATGCTTCATGCATGATGAGATCCAACAAGCACATTTAACTTCTATGATTAACATAAAGAAAATATTGACATTCAAAAACTATAAATGGTCAAGCAAGCCATTCCCCCCCACCCCCCACTTAGTTGTTTTCTAATGGTTTCTTATGCCTACCAAAATTAGATATTAGGACTTCCTATTCTACAAAACAGTTTTAAATGGCATCTGGTTTCCATTTTTTATGATGTCATTGTTCAGCCAATTATGAGGCATAACCAAGACACAAAAAATAAAATCTTCACCAATATCCATTTACAAATAATGAAATACCCACTTGTAGGAGAATACTTACGTTGAGTACACTGAAGTAACTCCAAGCATGGGGTAGCTGGTTGCCTAAATAAATATGAGATGATCAAGACAAATGACTATTCAAGACAAATGATTAGCTTAGCTCGAGTAGCCTTCTGCCACACAAATGACTATTCAAGACTCGTAAAAAGAAGAAACTTACAAGTTACTAACTTTGACTGAGTTCCCAACCAAGTTCCTGGATCAAGAAGAGAAACAGACTAAGAGATAGTTGTAGGACAAAGACTGAAAAAGACTTCTTTCAGCTATTTTAAGAATTATTACATTTTTCCTTGTTGGCAGTCAAGGGAATCATGGCTTGTCCAAGTTAAGTTGTTGTAAGAAAGATCACTGCAAACCACCAATTAAAAAGAAGTATTTTCAGAAAGAGAGGAAAAAGAAAAATTACTTGTATAATCAGCCAGAACTGAGAATTAGTTAAGATTTTTGAAGATCAATCTATTTTCTAATCATATATTTCTTACAGAAAATTAAAAATATATATAAGACCATTGAATGCCATATTCCATTGTGTTCAAAAAATTTGACACTCAGGAAGCAACACCTTGGATGTCAAAATTCAGCTTGAAGTGAAAAATCTAGTGTTAACAAAAAGATCAAACCAGCAAAATGACAGATAAATCACCAAAGGTAGACAGTGACTATACGAGAACATTAGATATGACAAAAGGCACTTTGTTAGCTTACATGAATTCTATTGTAAGTGTGACATATATCTTGGTCATAACTAAGTCATAACCTTAGAATTGATTCATAGCTTCATAGCTTGCATTTTCATTAAAATAAGATTATATGATAGTAAATAGAGCAAGCTTATAAAGGCTCCATAACTGTTGTGCAAAAAACCACTTATTGGGAAAAAGTAGATGACGATATTATAGTATGAAGCTATATATAAAAGAAAAATGATATGACAGATGCAAATTATAAAGAAGTATCTCCTTGTCATTGTTGGGATTGACAAGTATCTTCTTGAGATTCCTAGAGCTAGTGTCAAAGAAAAACAAGGAGAATCCTAGTACGTCCTTGTGAATGAAGAAAACATTAAAAATTAGCATTTGATTCTTATATAAATATTTAATATAACAAAACAAAACTATAAGTCTCAACTATTTGAGGTCGGCTACATGGATCTTTTGTCGCCATTGAAATATGTAAAAATCCATATATTTAGTTAAGTTTAGAGTATTTAAATCTTTATTTATAATTTCTATTGAGATCTTTTTAGATCTTCTTTTATCTCTCTTCGTACCAGTACTATTAATCATTTCACTTTATCTAACTACAAAATCCATAGGTCTCCTAAGCACATGTTCATACCATCTTAAATGATTTTATCTTATATTATCCTCTATCGAAGTGGCACCTAGTTGTTCAAAAATAAAAACATTTCTTCTTCTATCTTTTCCAGTAACTCCACAAATCTATCTCAGCATTCTCATCTCAACAATACAAACTTTTTATATATGTTGTTTTTTAATTTCTCAACACTCAAATCTATAAAGCATTACTGATCTCACAATTGTGTTATAAAATTTTTCTTTTAATATCAAATGTATTCGGTGATTACATGAGACTCCTGAAATCCCTTGTCATTCTAACCACCCTATTTTTACTCTATGAATAATATACTCATCGACCTCTCCATCTTGTAAAATTAGTTAAGATCCATGTTCATGAGATTTGACATAGTTTTACACAAGTTGTCAATGACCTAACATCCGACATTGGCGATGTTAAATTTTAATGAGGGAATAGCAAGATATAAGGAATACTTTAGGCGTCCATAGGTTTCTCTATGGTGTCTAGAGAGGGTGCTCTCTAGGGTTTAGTAGGAAGGTATACAAGGAGATTGTGCTTGAATGAGAATAACTCGAGAGTCTTGTAATTATTAATCACACGGGGTGAAGAGTTTAGTTTTTCATGGATGTAGGCAAGAGTTGTCAAACCACATCAGTTTTACATCGACTTTCTAGTGTGTCCTTTACTCCTTTATTATTGATATCTAGAATTTTTTTGTTTCGAGTTTTCTCTCCCTCCCAACAAAATGATATCAGAGTCCAAAAGATCTAATGATCATCGATTCAATAAGGATGAGCAACGAAGTTTGAAAGGGGCATGAAGCAAAAGTTTTTTTTCTTCAAGGGACACAAAATTGGCCAAAATATTCATCAGGGAAAGATTGATGGGATTGATAAGTATTTTAGAATTTCTGAAGTCAGTGTTCTATAAGAACAAGAGGTCCTAGTACGGGAAGTCCTTGTGAAGAAAGAAAACTCTCTAAATTAGGATTTGGTTCTTCTATAAAAATCCAATATATTTCTAGGGTTTGGTGGGGAGAGCAAAATGTGAGAAATAATTTAGATACTCCTAGGTTTCTCTCTAGTGTGTCCAGAGAAGATGCTCTATAGGGCTTCTAGAGTGGGTGAGAAAAAAAGGACAAGGAATTATAGTACGAGAAGGTATACAAAGGTTTCTTCGTAGATGTAGATGGGAGTTATCAAACCACGTTAATCTTGTGTCAGCTTTCTAGTGTGTTCTCTCACTCCCTAAAAGTCATAATTTTTGTCATAATTTTATAATGAGATTATTAGCTCACACAGATTGCATTATCATTAAACATAAGATTATATGATAAAAGATAGAAACAAGCTTATTAAGATTTCATAATTGGTGCCAAAACCCACCAATTGAGAATTAATAGAGGAAGCTAAATCCAGAAGTAGAGGCAAACTGTCATAAAGAAAAGCTTCTTGACATCATGTACTAAATCGACTAACCATCTCAAGTCAGGCTGAAGTACTAAATGGTGAAGCAAATTTCTTCATGATAGTCAACTGATGGCAAAAGAACATAGATTTACCAATGAATATTTGCAACTATTGCATAATGTGACTCAGCCATTTGCAATTGGGAAAAGGAAAGATATCTGAAAGACAGGAATTTGCACAAATGGTCATGCTTAAAGCTCTCTTAACCTTCTAAAGAAAAACATCGCCAGATCATTAATTCACAGGCTCATTTGCACTTTAGTTTTTATTAAAGCAAATTTCTTAACTTATTGATTTATTCAACATTACCTAGATTTTCCCATACGATCTAAACAACAGAGCAAGAATCTGAATTCAGCCCAAACTACTGATTCTGACACCCCTCCTTGTATATAGCTAAAAGTTGTAGGAAAGTGCACCAATTCTAGTGGATCAAATCTGTCAGTTCAATCTAAATCTAACTAAAAAGAGTTATGACAGTTCTTCATCTCAAAATTTAGGTTTTACCAGAAACTCCCCCTGTTGTTGCTTTGCTTCCAGAGAAACTCTATCAGTTCATTCATCTAACCACCAGAAGTGACATCAAAGGAGAGAAGAGGTGCAGCATTTTGACATTTTCTTCGCATAACAGTTTAAAATCGAGAGTTCTTTTTCTCCCTCCCTCCCTCTCTCTCTCCATACTACCAAAAATACACCGCATGTAGACTGGAGTTGGCAATGATTAGCAGGCTGCATGCACAGCAATAGAATAGTTAAATTTTCCACAAGATACATTAGTTTCTGCCTTCTATATAACTTGATTGAAGCTCTTATCTAATGCAATATTTGTTACCATCAATTTTAAAAATTCTATTATGTGTTACACATAACATGATTCATCTAAAGAGGCCTTGATTACAAAACCAGCAAGCCCTCTGAAGGGTTTAAAAAGAGAGAGAATTATCGACTTCTAGTTGTGGGGAGAGCTCTCCCTTGACCCCCTTGCCTACAACAAACTCAATAAAGTAGCCCTGCAGATCTCTACCTCTAACCCCCGAACTTGGGACCAGAGTTCGTTGCTCCCACCAGACCACCAGTACCTCAGACACTCCAACTTATGATCAGTCATTCATGAGGGCAAGTTCATGTCCAAGCCCCGAACAGAATGGACAAGTCAATTGTTTGAGAGAATAAAATGACCAAGTCAATCTGCTCGAGGGAAATGAAATGACAGTCAATTCTCTGAGCAACTGAAACTAGTACTTTAATGCTGAGACAGTAACGGGTCTACACGTATGTGTACTCTAATTCAGATGATGTTAGCGGAGACCCTCAACTCCTATTGAATTACAGATCAGATTAAACCAACCATTACATATACTGATGTTAAAAATGTGAACAAAAATTCATGGTAGGGGCCACCAGGCACCTAACAAAAGTCAGGTGGGCCCAAAGGCATAAAAATTGCAACCAGACATACTATATTTTATCCTTATTTCCTCGAATGCCATTCCTCTTTCTTGTCTATAAAAACTGAATCATGTTGGACTACCGCTGCATGCAGCTAAAATAGTTTTGATTCAAAATCTGGGTTTATCTTTCTCAGTAGAGTGGATGGGATTGGAGTTGAATGTCTTCAATTGTTCTTAGTTCCTTGAAACTTAAACAAACCAAGGAACTTGAAGTGGAGACCAGAGCATATTGGTCTTCAGCTTAGGTCATGCAACCAAAACCACAGTGTGCAAGTCACATCAAACAGAAAAAACCAAACCTTCATTAATGGCATATTTAGTAAGTCTAAGTTTGGGACTTTTCTTCAGTGGGGTTATCATAGCATGCCTATGATGTTGTTTGAGTTGGGACTGTTACATGGGCAAACAGCTGCAGAACTCACTTCGAAGTGAAAAATTAGAGCAAGATGCTTCAAGTTCCCATAAATACCACAGGCCCACAATAATAATAATAATAATAATATTATTATTATTATTATAACAATATGAAGAATATGACAGTCAAAATGTGACAACAAGCACACAGAAATTTCAATTTATATTATAAACTTATAATCTGAAATAAACATCAAAATTGATCATACATGTGTTTTGTTTTTCCAGTAGATATCCAGTCAGGGACAGGGCCAGATAAATTATTGTTGTTCAGAAACCTGACAGTAAAGTCGTAGTAGGTAATAAGTATCATGAAGGATGACTTCTACTACCAACAAATTGCGGTGATGAAATAACAGAAAGTATTTCAGTAGGTTACTTACATGGAGTCTGAGACTCTCAAGTTCTGAAATGTAGTTGGAATTGCACCCGATAGATTATTAAAACTAAGGTCCCTGATGAAAGAAACAGTCAGAGAAGTCATAGTTGAGTAACATCCAAGTGAGCATATCTGTTTTGGAATATTATCAGTGAGAGAAGTCCTCACTGATTGAAGTAGCAAAGCAAATGAGAAAATTGATAATCTTTGTACCACAGTCGAGGACAGAGAGGAACGAACCATTTTTTGGAATATTAAGATTCACCTATTATAAAAAATGGACTAGTATTGCATATAAATTTGTGTATAGAAAAAAAAGATAATAGACATTCCTCTCAATATATTTTTGGTATTGAATACTTTACCAGGTGACACGCCACTACATTAACCTTGCTCGATAATTGCCTAGTAACAGAACGGATTGAGTGAAAATGCTCGATCCATGTGTTGAATGGCCATTGGATCAGCATATTGACGAGTACAGTCAAAACTGGATTCCATGATTCCATCTACCTTTCTAGAGAGCAAAAAATATTGAAGTATAATTATTTCATCTCTTATAAGTAATCAAACTAAATCCTACTTGTTTTTCTCTCCATATCCAATGCTCCCATGCCCTCCTTTAGTTATCACTATTTTCTCTCTTTATATGATCAATTCCCTCTCAACTTATATACTTTCATCTAAATTTCCCAAATTCCATTATGGTTTTAGAATAAATAACATATCCATTAAAAGATCAGGTAAATTTACATAAGGGAATATCTAAAACAAATAACAAGGAATTTCTCCATTGACCAAAACTTTTAATGAAGCAGAATAAGCACCTAAGTCTTCTCTAAAAACATCTAGTGCAGTGAACTTAACCATATAAATAGACTAAATTAAATGATCACTAAATATTTCTACTTTCATGACTCAATTATCATGCAGTTAGACCAGAATATGCTAACACCGAAAATTGTTAGTAAAAGGATGAAATTCCAAAATAATTGTAACACACTGCAAGATAACAAACCACAAGACAAGTGACTACCACTTGGCAATCATTTTCAGAAGGAACCAAGCTAAAGTTACAAGCATTCAGCACATAATTTTTTCATCATAGCTGCTGTTACAACCTCAGCCTAAGTTCAACATTAAACAATCCTATCCAACTCAAATGTTGAAATTAAAAAATGGGTTAGAGATGACCCCAAAACCAATGCAAGCCCAGTCCAACTCAAACATATATCCAATTAATAATGGTTTGCAATATATATATATATATCGAAGAAAATTATGCGATACCACTCTGTAGTTGCTGATTTAACCTCAAGATTTAGCAATGTATACAACTTGATCAATCTGAACCAGAGATCAACCCTATCTAAATTGGATTATGACAGGATTTAAATAACCTCAGTCTGAGGTCAGCTTGATGGGATCACTCTTATATCCAGAATCATGATTTCAGTTCAGCATATTTATTCATGTTATTCTTGAATCTTGTATCATTACCTGACATAATTTAGAGTATCAAATTTGGGATTTCAATCTCATCAATGTCATGCAATAAAATTTCTACAAACGCTCCTACTCTAGTATCCTTCACCGAGGTGGCGTTTAAATTAACCTTCAACATGACCAACCGGATCTAGTTGCAATCATAATCACAGCCAAGTATGATAAACTATGATAACATCTCCTCGAAAGAAAAATCCATCTCATAAGTGAATCTTTCTACTGATATATTTGCCTCTATCAAGAGAATGATTGTACTATCTTGGAGAACCTATCAAGGACAAAGAAAATAAAGGCACACCAACCTTTATTTTTTGAGAAATATTAGCACATAACTCTTGGCCACAAAGTTAATCTAAACATCAACCCACTGCCCAAAAGACTCAACATACACTTGCCCAAAAAGCCCTTGGCACTGAAGTCTAAACTGTCTTCACCCAGTCACTATTCATGACCAGAAAGGAACTTCTTCCTCCTATGCAGGCTGTTATAGTTTGTCGCTCTATCCAGGCCCTGTAAGGTCAAGGTTGCTAGAGCATCACTCTCCGACCAAGGATGGTCAAAGACCTGCTCTCTTGAACAATACACTCGTTATTATAGAAGTCCTTCAATGGTTACAAGAGACGCTATATTATCTAGTCATTGTTTTGATATATCTTCCTCACCTTAGTGACTTAAGCATACAGGGGACCACACTGAAAACTTTCCTGACACCATTTAGACATTGTTCATCATGTAAGCTCTTGATCCTTAAAACACTACCACTCCCCTTCCATTTATGCAGTCGGCAACATTAGGAAGGCCAAGTTTCCCAAAAAAAACCTGCTTAACAAGGCACTAAATTTCATCTTATGTGAATAACTCTTCTCACGCCCCACTTAACATATATCCATGCCTACATGTTTCATTCTAATTCATACTAGATGAGACCTTATATTAGTGAATGAGCAATATTTGAGTAGAAATATTTTTCCCTTCTTTGCAAACAGTCTAAATTGAGATAGCAATCCAACTTGTTTTGACTTAGTCTAGGTGAGCTTGTGCTTCACCGGTAATCCTAGTTGAGCTTGTAAATGATTTCGATCTCAGCTTGGCTTTTCCAGGAGAGTTCAAGATCAACTTAAGATTTGCCTCATCAGTAGTTTGTTTATCCTGTCAAATGAGTGGAGTTTGATCTCATATATGGAATGAGCCGAGCTCAAGCTCCGATTTTCTACAATTTCATAGAGGTAAAAAATTAATTTAGTAGGCATAATCGTTCAAGAAAATAAACAGAAATGAAATAAATAAGAAAAGCTAGAATAAAAACAACATCATTAATTATACTCAATACATATCTGAACTTCAAATGCATATGATCCACTATCTATCATAGTATCATACTATGAAATATGCTCCATCGTGCATTCTCAGTGATCCTTCCACTATCACATGCATATATAGCTTGTACATCTATTTTTAATTGTTAAGTGAAGAAACAATCAACAGAAATAAGAGCTTAATCCATTTGTACAAAAAAGATATAAATTTTTCAATTTTAACCACATGTCTATGTACAAGCCTTATTATTAGTTTATAAGGTTAGCGAGATTATAAAATAATTTTAATGACAACTATATGGATTTATCAACCAGGAATGATGATTTCAATCTAAACCTATGGTGTACTAACTTGATCCAGTTGGATTTAATCAACTCTGACAACGGACGGGGCAGAGTTGCACATAACTTCTAAAATTTGAATTGGGCTAGGGATGGGATGATATCATTTATTCCCAATCCAAACCCTCATCGCTCTATATAGAAATAGTTTCCTTTGTATTATTAAAATATATTTACACACATTCACATAATTTATTCTCATCAAGCAGGATGAAGAACAACCAAGGTGGTAACTCTTTAATGTAGTTCGGGGATGGTATTGTATTTTTTAACATGTCAGCGATGGGGTGGGAGCATGGTGGGATGGGAATAGTTCGGGCAAAATCTGCCCCACCCTGCCATGCCTCATAGTCATCATTAGTACTGCCTTATGTAGATTCTCCACTTATATGCTTATAAGTGAACTCGTTCACAAGTCTAGACATGAGTTTGCTCAAGTCTATAAGAATGCTTATTCACAATGTTATTAGTGAGTTAGCTCACAAACCTAAACAAGCCAAGTTTTTGCCATGTTCATGAACAGTTTCAATCATTTGTAACCCTAGTCTAGATTGGTGTAACATTCAAATGTGCATTTAATTTTTTCCATCAAATGAACGAATTTATGATCCATAATCTATTCCAGTCTGAGTCCATCTACAATGTCCGATTCAAATCTTGATTGAGGGCAACTGTTAGAGATATTAGTTCCCTATCCATATACAAGGAAGCAGGAATCAGGGAAACTGAGACAAGTATTGCCTTGCAAATATTTTGAACTGCATCATATACTCGTGCAATAGCAAGGCAACAATTGGAATATATTAAGTCCAAAAAAGGGTGAACCAAGTGTAATGCACAAAGATAGTCAACTTACAAGTACTTAAGATCAAATTTTCCAATATATTCAGGGATTCCTCCTGACAGTCCGCAATTTCTTAAAATCCTGCAACAAAAATCAAACCAAAAAGGTGACCCCTCCAAGCTGATAATTTAAAATTATGAATTCATTAAACATTAGAGATCATTAAGCTCACAATGAGCGCCATATTTTGGAGGCACTTAGTTGCGGAAAGCTCATGGTTCCATTTATATCACTGATCCGTCTGCAAGTAAAAACAGTTCCAACAAATAAGTCTGTTGCAATTTCTGGTCCCAAAATTACAGAGTGGAAATGAACCCTAAATGTTACTCTGGATCATGGTTTGCCGTACCGAACAGTACCGCCCGGTACGGGCGGTACGTACCGGTCCGACAGACTTTCGGTACGCGGACCGCCTCTTACCGTTTCGGTACTGTAGCACTGTAGCACTGCTACAGTGCTCGGCACACCCGGGTGTACCGCTCGGTACACCTCGGTATACCGGCCGGTACACCCGTACCGTACCGTACCGAGCGCGGGTCGAAACACCGGTACGGTACGGTACGGCGAACCTTGCTCTGGATAATGAAGTCCTAAGTTTCACTCACAATTCGGTTAAATTCTTTAAAAACGCAATTCCAGAAGGACTTGGACCCTCAAAGCCACTTGCTTGCATCTCTCTACCATCCAAAGAAGGACAAATATTGGGTATCAATAATTCATGCATGGAAGATACCATCCGGAAAAAGAGATATCACATTTATATAAGAACTTCAAAATGTTTGATGACACATTGATACAAGAATTTCAAAATAATGACGACTTACAATCTGTAAAGATATGTCCAGTTTTGAAAAATCCGCTCTGGTATCTTTCCATTAAAGCGGTTATCATTGATCCTGCTGCAATGGTTTTTTTTTTTTTTAATTGAATAGCCTACCAAGAAAAACTATAATATAATAGGATTTATAAAACTTTATTACATACAAGTCTTGTATCTTGTTGAGCTTTGCAAGATCCACAGGCAAGTTCCCAGAAAATGTATTTGAAGACAAGTGCCTGCAAAGCAAACCTGATATATCAAACAATCACAAAAGCTGATATTCAAAATTTGTATAACAAAGAAGAAAAATTAAATGCTTAAGAAAAGGTCTCACAATATCTCTAAGTTGAGTAACTCCCCAAGTTCTTGAGGTAAATGTCCGGTAAACTGATTAGCTTCCAGATCTCTTCGTAAAAACAATCAAGCAAGTCATGAACCCAAATGATCATATTTTGACACAAACAAGTGGAAAAATGTTAAACCTACAGATTTTTCAAATTTGTAAGATTTCCAATCCATTGTGGAATTTCTCCCGAGAGGCGATTTCCCAATAGAGAACTGCAGAAATTCCATATCCAATCAGTTGATAGAAAACAGGGAAACCATTCTTTAGAAAATTTAATGGCAGAAAAGGAAAAGTCAAACTTACAGATTCATTAGAGGCAAAGTTGCCCACTCAACAGGTATTGTACCATTAAGGTAGTTTCGAGTAAAGTCTCTATTCAAGACAGCATAAATGCAGGTTAGCGATACGGAGAAAAGGCTTAATTGAACAAGTTCAACCAATTTGAAGATATAGAACAACCCACATTATATTGAGATTGCGAAGCCGAGCCATTTCTGGTGGTAGAGTTCCTGAAAGATTCTGGGATTTGAGGATTCTGTAAATTCAAAGAATTCGTTAGGTGGTGCCGCCCATGACTTAAGTGGTGGGACCCATTGGGGTTAATTAAAAAATCCTAACCCTAATCTTATATGAGTTAGATGCGAAAAACCTAAAAGGTGACATCATAGAGAAGAAAAGAGACTTTCATCTAGGGAGAAAAAAGATTCGACTATTGGTCAGTGAAATTGGTTCTGACTGTCATGATTTTTCGATATGCTGATCTAGACACATTGCTCTCTGAATTGATCAGGGTAGATCTTTAAGATTTCTTCTTCTTCTTAGTCTTTTTTCCTAGTTTCTTGAAACTCATTTGAATGCCTGGTTTTCATATGATATTGATATCCTCTTGTTAATATAGAGAGAGTGACATTATAATCCCATTATTTTATAGTGAAAGATTGATCTGGTTTGCCTGTGGTTTTTTTTTTTTTCCTTCATGTTGAAGGGTTTTTCCACATAAATCTTGTCTCATGATTTGCTTAGTATTCTGTCACTAATCCGATTAACCTGCACTGTTAGATTATTTACAATATATTTGGTGTTAAACTATAACTTATTTGATTCACATAAAATGGAGAAAAAGAAGATTCTGATGTTTGTCACTTCCGCAGATTCAGGACCCCATATCTAATCTTTTCCCAACAGAATTAACAACATGAATACTAATTAAAAATCAAGTAGCACCGGCAGTTCAAAACTCCTTAAACAAAAGAAAATCATCCTAGACCAATTTCTAACTTACTCATGATTGCAGACAGTCAAATAAATTCTTAGAAATGCATTCAGAATCTCCTAGCTTTTCTACAGTAATACTATAGTTTTCAAGAAAAAGAAAAAATGTGTAATTAATTCAATGATCAATTTTGAATCTTAGTCATGGTGAAGGTAAAAATCAACAAAAGCATCAATTATTTAACAACTACATAGAACAAGAAAAAAACCTATGACGAGAGCAAAACCATTGTCCAACCAATCTCAAGTAGTGGGGACCCTCACATTGTTGTGATATGGCAGACGGTGTTGTTGTTGTAGTTACAATTGCACGTGACATTGTCATCCTTTCCGGTGATCCAGTTCGTTTCATTGTTACATGGGTCCACGTTGAAATCCCAGCCGGTTTTGCCCAAAGTCACCGCGATCTTCTTGAGCGCATCCACTAATGAAACCAGAGTAACATTTGGATCATTGAGCAATCAGAGAATCGGATAACTCCACCAAGAAATATCGATAAAAAAAAAAACACAAGGTGAACAAACATTCCGGAAATAACCCCCTAGATTAGGTAAAACCATCATAAATCTCATCAAGACGCAACGTAGTAATACAACCCAAAAAGGAGGGAGTCAACGGAGAAAGAATCAAGAATCAATTACCGGATCACCTGAAACTCCAAAACATGGTTTGGAGATCGATTCCAAACAGGAGGTATCTTTTCCTTCTGCCTTCCCGCCGCAACCACGCCATCAAGTAATCGGTTTCGCACTCGGAAAATGTAAAGACTTACTCCTGATGTTGATGGAGTCGTGGCGGATGAGCATCTGAATGCGGTCCGGAACATCTCAAACAGTAGGTAGGGTTTCGGAAACAGGCTTCGTCTCGCCGTCCCCTTCCCGCGACCGGAGGCGATTTAGGATTCTCTCTTCTAATGTTTCTTTCCCTTCCGCGAAATAAATATATTTATATACATATATATATATATTTGACACCTCTTTTTTAATTTTTCATACCTCCATAAAAATACTATCAAGTGTATAAAAAATAATTTATGCAAAGATAACGCCGTAACGAACTTTGAATCCAATACAAAATAATTTATGCAAAGATAACGCCGTAACGAACTTTGAATCCAATACAAAATAATTTATCAACTTTAGTTAAGTTTCAAATAAATATTATTATTAATCTAAGAATAAGACATTTTTTTTAAGAGTAAATAACGAATCTTAAAACCTTATAATAAGGTGACAAAAGTATTTGCCAATCAAACTAGTCAATATATTTTGCACGCAATAAATTGAGTTATATATTAGTTATAATTTTTTAGAAAAAGGTTACATAAAAAATATTATAGCTGACATCACAATAGACCAATTCACCCAATGGATGAAGCTTTTTCTTTTCTACTGATCCTCTCAAAAGCAATTTTTGAGAATTGTACATTAAGACAACTCTTTACGATATTGTAGTTACTACCTAAGCTAAATCTCCTATACAAGTTCTAAATTAATTTATACTAAAAATAATAAAAAAAATTAAATTATATATATATATATATATATCAAATAATTGAAGGATAAAGTGTTAAGAAATATATGCATAGTAATTAATACCTTATCATCCATCCATCAATAAAAGCTACAGCATGATTCGCGACACAACAAATAAAATCAAATTTGCAGTGCTGTTTTTTGTTTTCTTGTTGCTATTTAAATATTTTGATTCTAATTTGAAGTCAACTCTCAATCATGAAAACAAAAATTAATCCGATTCGAACAATTCAATCTCTGATTAGATGTCTAATACTCAAATCGACTAAAATTTAGTAGACCGATAAATCTTCTACTTTTTATATGAACTCAATAATAGAGTAGATAGAAAAAAGGATGGGAGTAAGAGGAGCTCGTTGTACCCTCATCATCCGGTAGACGAGTCAGATTGGATCCGATCGCGGAGAAGCTAAGCAATGCGAGGACCAAAGAGGATGTAAGCAGCCTCCAGCACATCTTTCTTCTTCTTCTTCTTCTTCTTCTTCTTCTTCTTCTTCTTCTTCCTCCTCCTGCTGAGTTTGCTGCAATTTGCTCGGTCTCAGGAGAGACTATGAAATTTTATAGAAGAAAGCTGACTTATATTCATATCTCCAGATGACATATCAGTTTCATCTATATCTGTAGCATTAATCAACCATGAGGATCATGAATTTGTGGAAGATTGCTCTGCATCCATGCTACTGATACAAGAGTCAGCAAAAGGCAGCTTTCGGTCTCCGATCCTATATCTGTAATTATTTTGCTGACTCTCATATCATTGATGTAGTGCAATTTTCCACAAATTTGATGATCCTCATGTCTCTAATGGTGACATCCATCCACATAAATATTAATTTTCTATGTGACATAATATTTTTATGATTAACTTTCATCATCAATGATGTGTTTGAAGCCAACTTGACTTGACGAGAGCGAAATGTCTATGGATGTGAATCTCTCCTTTAAATTTTTAAAAAGTAGTGGACTCTTGATGATGGTGATAATTACGATAAGACTTGCGTGACATCAGCTGACGTCCCACGTCTCTGTCGGGCTGACAGCGCTTGGCCAACACGGGTCGAAACGCCAACCGAGGCCCATTAACGACTGCTTAGGCTCGATTCCTCACGCCACGCCAACAGCGAGGTCAGACGTCATCAAAAGGTACGATTCTGCCACCTGCGAGCAGACACGTCAGGTGACACTAAACTCCCCTATAAATATCCTTGCGTTCTGAGCGAAAGAGGGAGGAAAAAAGGTGGAAAATGACAGCAAACACGGGAAAAACTCCTGCAACCCCTGACTAACTTAATCATCGGAGGGGTCGGGTCGAGCATCCCGCCCCGACCTGTGTGCAGGAACGAAAACGAGGTGCCTCTCACCGGACGCATTGGCGAGGAGCCCCTTCCCGCAGGAAACGGCGACCCACCTCCACGATCGAATCGACCCGAGCCGACAACCTCTGCAGTCCCGGGGAATCCCCCCTGAGAGATCTCTCGTCATCTGGACCCGAACCGAGCCGCGTCGGCCCCAAGGCCATGGCTTAAAATTGTTTACACAACAACTCCAACTCGGTCTTTCATCATGATTATTTCGACCTATGAGATTCTTGCAAATTATTGTCGAGAGTATGCCCTCCGGATTATTTATGTATACGAGGTTCTTATAATTCGATCCGAATTTCAAACATATACAATTCAATCAATCTATCGATCACATAATTCGATCTATAATTTAAATTCGATTCACTTACGGATCGAGTCAATGATTGGATTGTGAACGAACATATGTTACCTACCCAACCACTCCCTAAGACTACTGAAAGGCTTTCGATGAAATTTTATAGACTATTAAACAGCCGCCGGCATATCTTTCTTCTTCTTCTTCTTCTTCCATGAAATTTTACAGAAGAAAGTCAACTCTTATATCGTTTACGAATGGGTGATGACATTGATGTCATTATCTTCTAATGGCAAGAAATGCCTCTTCTTCCGATTGTTTAATCTTCGGATAGTAGGAACCTTTTTAAGACCAGTTTTTTTTTTTTTTTTTTCCTTCAAGATTCACACACTATGTGATGTATATGTTCAAATTAGTGCGAGAAAGATTTTTTAATCTTAGTTAAGAACACATGAGAATGAATCCGACTGACTAGGATTAATATAGATTATATCAATTCAATCTAAAAATTTATGTGAGTAGATTGTTGAATAAATTTAATATATATCATCCGAGATAGGTATTTGTGTTCCTCTTTCAATTTTTTAAGTTTGAAATTACCCACGATGTTTTTGACGTAATTATCTAAAAACAATAATCACCTAGTAAATACGAGTAATTATGTATTTGAAATATTAAGAGGCATAAGGTATTGGGATACGATGCTAAACTTACATTTACGAGTTGGACTATCGACTTGTCACTCATTCTTGATATTTTTTTTACGATAAATCGAATCTATCACACCGACTTACGATAAATCGAGGTGGATCAACCAAATATAACCTTAACATATCTAGGATTTCAAATGAATGTTGAATTGATTTACCAACTTGGTTCTGGCTCGACCCCAACCTATTAATTCGGTTCACTCAATTAAAATCTTGACATCATTTTTTTTATATTATAAAATATAAATAGGTAAAAAAAACATGAAACCAATTGATTTAGCCTATCGTAATATTGTGCCCTTCATTATCCATATACTTTATATAAACTTAGCCTATTGTAATTACGAGATTGATAGTTTCCGATAGGATTGGAGACTGAAGGCTGCCTTTTGCTGGCTCTTATATCCAAGAAAACAAAGCATGGAAGAACCCATGAAAAGTTGCACTCGAGTCATCACGTTGCATCATGTCCTTATATAATCTAATATAATATAATGATATAGGAATAGCTTCTAATGATCATCTCTTCCGACCGATGAACCAATAATTAATTTCCACTTCAATATAATTCATGTAGACTAAATATTCAAACACTATAAACCTAATCCGGTCCACCAAACACATGTAACATTGCCGAATCCGGTCCACCCAATTTTATCTACCAAGTAAATATTCCAAACATACAATTCAATCAATCTATAGATCACATGATTTGACCTATAATTTATATTCGATTCATTTACGGATGGAGTCAATCATTTCTTGCGATTGGATTTGAACGAACATAATGTTACCTACCCAATTATGACTATCGAAAGACTTTCAATAAAAAAACATAAAAAGAGAGAGACTATTGAAAGGCTATGGATATATTAAACTATTTTCAGTCTTATTGAGTGGCTTCACCTTCCCCTTTTATATTTTATTATTTTATGCATTATCCCATCAAAATAACATATAAATATATATATGTTAAATAAGTGTATTATTATAAAATTAAATCATTTTGATAAGATCATACTTAATCTCTTATTGATTGGAGAGTTAAGATATAATAAAACTATACATCAGTATTAAAGGGTTTGGGATGCTATAGTAATGAAAACTCTAAATGGTTTTTCTCCAAATTATGACTATTTACATGGACTTGGAAAAGTGCTTATCATACCTACCACTTCAGCTATTAAAAATGTCATGAAATCTATTAGGCATGTCATGTCAACTTAGCATTCTTTTCTCACGTTTTATCTTCAATTTTAATAAATGAATTCTCTATCTCAATATATTTTTAATTAATTAAAAAACTCTCGAAATATTTTTTTTTTTTAAAAATAAAACTAAGATATATATATTCCCCTCAAAGTGGGATATTTATTTTCTCTAATAAAATTTTTCTTTTTTCTCTTTTTTCTCTTTTAAACATGATAATACTAAAATAAAAAAGCTCAAATCGATTTCATTAATTGGAATGGCCAATCAAATTTGATCATATCATATTATATATATATATATATATATATATAATCATTCAAAGAATTAGTTATATAAGCATATATATCCCATTCAAATTACCTATTTTATTGTTTGAATTTAAAACTTATTGAAGGGTAGATATGCTATTAATAGACCTAAGAGGGTAAGAAGATTACTTCCTACTTCAGCATTAAAATAAAAATACTGCGTCCACTTGCCGCCCATTCCGATCGACCGGGAAAAGACGCGTGACATGTTGGTAACTTCCTTCACACCGGCAAAGAAGGCTGTACGTTCAACCTTCCCTTTCCGCCATCGTCAGCTCGTCAACTCCGAATGCTTTCTTTATAGGACGAGCCGCACTGTTCGATCTCGTTCTGCATCTCGGAATCCTTGCTAGATCGGGACGATCCGGAGAGAGCGAGCGCGAGAGAGTACAGAGAGATGAGAGCACTCGGTGGGACGCGTCCCTCATTTCTCCCACGTCACTTCCCTCTTGTGCTCGTCTTGCTCGTTCTGTGGAGCTTCCGTTCCTCCCTCGATCTGGGCTGCGACGCCCAGAAACTGGCCCCGGATGAAGGTGCGCTGCTTCCCCACTTTGCTTTTAGTCAGAATACCTCAGATTCTCAGCATGAATCGATGGTTCCTTTGTGAGGTCATAGAATAGCTTGGCCACCACACTTCCCTTTTGAGCTCAAGTGCGTCGCTGTAGTTTTCGTCGGAATACCTTGGGTTTAATGTTGATAAAAGCTTCAGATCTAAAGGGGACCGAGGTATCCTTACTCGACCCAAGTAGCCGCCACAGCTTTCCGAATGTCTCCGGTCGTTTCTTCATTTCGAATAGGGTTTTGTTTCTTCTTTATTCGAAGAAGAATATTGTCTGTCCTCTCCACTGCTATGGATAATTTGTGTCACAAATTTCTGTCATTCCTGAATTGGCACCGGTCGTCATCCTCCGCAATAAATTACCGGTGCTTATTGCTCGCGTTCCTCTTTGTTCTCATCACTTCTGTACCCACAAGAAAAGTTTATATCCATCTTTGAGGGCTAATTTTTGGGTATCCAAACCCATCTTTTTCTGGGGATGGGGGCGGCGGCACTGTCGATGTACAAATAATGTTATCCCGCGCGGGGACAAATAATTGTTATCCCGCCGAACTCGTTTACTTACATCGGACCGCGTGTCCCGTCAAAGTGATGGGTATCGGCCTCAACAGTTGGTAAAAGATCGGAGTTTGACCGATCCTGACCGTGGGATTGGTCGTCCTATATGAACTCAAGGAGTAAAGAGTCTAGTTGCATTCGAAGGAAAGCTAACCTGGTCAACCTAAGTTTGCTCTCTTCTTGTATGAAGAATTTATGCTCTAGAAATGATAGAAATAATATGTAGGTATTCTTTTTATTCAATGCTAAAAACCAATTGGTTTCTACGGGGAATTGAAGATTGTACAAACTACAAAGTGTATATCTGTGTGTGTGGCCAACTTATCCAATACGATCATCAATGTATAATACGATGCTTACCTCTGAGATGATGGGAGGTAAGAGAACAAAAGCGTATATGTAGGACCTAATAGTTGCATATTCCAAAAACAGTTGCAGCATTGCGAGTGATTGCATCCAAGTTGGAAAAGAAGTGGGACTTTTCTGTGGATCCCTGCAGTCAAACCAATGGATGGGTCGTTCCAGGTCGAAGTGACATGCCTGTCTTTACTGACAATGTCACCTGTGACTGTAATCGTACCTCCAACGTTTGTCATGTTACTAGCATGTAAGCTTTATTGAATAAAGGCCCATTTACACAATCATACATCTTTTTTCGTCATTTATTTAGTAGATATGGTCATGTTTGTTCTTTCTTTTTTGGCTGCAGTAAACTCAAGGGTCAGAACTTAACTGGCACCCTGCCAGCTGAGTTCTCTAAGCTTCCCTTCTTAACAGATATGTAAGTCTACAGTGACTTTCTCTTATCACTCTATCAAGACAGAAGTTAAAGGCTGTTGCAAGATGTGGCTCATGTTACTTTTACTCTTTGTACAGTGATTTAACCTGGAATTATCTGAATGGAACTATTCCAGCTGCATGGGCTTCTCTTCCTCTCGTCCATCTGTAATTTACTTCATTTCAGTTATTAACTTATGTTTATTCTTTTTTCTCTTTTCTTGTTGCTGGATACAACATACCACATTGCTGCTTGACTTGGAAACCAGTTTTTTTCATTATTAATGAAAATCTGGTCCACTGTGTCCTTACTAGATAAAAAAATTCTTGTCGGCAGAAAAATTTCTTCTCAACATTTTCACTTTCTTGTCTATAAACTCATCGGTCTATCATTGCCATAAATGAAACCATCTCTTGGTTCGCCACCCTATTTCTTTCATCGTTATGTATGTGATTTGCCACTACCATCTCTTCTTCCTCTTCCCATCTCTTCTAGATACCAGTTGCCATTTCCTAGCCACACCCAGTTTTATCTAGTCGACAACTGCAACTATCATCCTGCCACCAATCATCATTGCCTCTTCCTCCACCAACAGCCTCTACTATCCACTTCTCATGCACTCTCTGTTGATAGTAAATTGTATTTTAATTATAAGTTTAATACATCCAGAGAATGATCCTTAATAGTTTTAAAAAGTAGACACAAGTATTAGCTTTTTGACTAGGTTGGCATTTCTTTTAAAATTGTGGAGTTCAGTGATCTAGGTATGGTTTTTATGATGACTATAGAATTATATAAAACCGGAAGAAAATTTATGTATTGTAATTCTTTGCAGGTCCCTCCTTGGAAATCGGGTTTCTGGGCCAATTCCTGAGGAATTCGCAAAAATGATCACACTTGAAGAATTGTAACATTATACCTTCCATCTTTATTTGCTCTTAATCACCAATTCTTTTCCTTCTTTGCTCATGGTGGAATCTCATCTCATCGGTCAGGGTTCTTGAAGGTAATCAGCTGCAAGGACCCATACCTGCGGCGCTCGGTAAACTTGCTAATTTAAAACGATTGTAAGGCTATGCAAAAACTCTTATCCTAGCCTGTAGGATGCCTTCTGTTTAAGTTATGTGATAAGATTCTCTTTTCTAGTTTATTTGGTTGAATGGTTCAACCCTTCTTTCTTTTCCTACAGCCTTGCCAATGGGAATAACCTAAGTGGGGAGTTGCCAGAATCACTTGGGAACCTGAAAAACCTCATAATGTTGTATGTCTCACAAAGTCTTTTAATCTTTGCAAATTACTGTGTGAGTCCATGGTCTCTGCAATGGTTTTTTAGCAGCCAGCAGATGGCCATTGCATAAGACAATGGACCTAACCTATGTTCAGAAGAAGCAATAGACACCTAATCACTTCTAAACCTTTGCAGTTTGATTGATGGGAATCCAATCTCTGGGAAAATTCCAAGCTTCATCGGGAACTGGACACAGCTCCAGAGGCTGTACTGATCACTGACTACTATTTTCTTTTACTTAGATGTTAATTCTTTTGTTGTAATTAACAAATTGATCTTTTATATTTCTACAGAGACATGCAGGGCACGGCTATGGAGGGGCCATTTCCTCCCAGATTCTTGGCATTAAAAAATTTAAAAGAACTGTGAGAGAATAACTTACCCAATCCAATTCAAGATGTTTCATGCATCCAATAATTACAACCAAATTAGCTTGTCTGGTACTGCAGGAGGGTGTCTGACTTGAAAGGAGGAATTGGTTCATTTCCACAGCTGCAGAATATGAGGAACATGACAAAGCTGTATGTTTAAAAGAAAGTCAAATGCCCCAAACATCATGATCTGGTCTGATTTTTTTTTTTTTTACTTTAACCAGTTTGTACTGATTGGTGCCATGATGTAGGGTCTTGAGAAACTTGTCAATATCGGGTGAACTTCCTGACTATATTGGAGAGATGAAAGCTCTTAACAGCTTGTAAGTTTATCAGCGGGTATATTTGACAGGTTTTAGCTTCGTTAGCTTCTTTGGGACAGAGCTCCACTTAACTTCTTCAGGAGAAGAAACTTAGTGTCCTGATTTTGTAACCGACCTGCCACCAATAAAATTGATTATTAAGATTGTCTCCATGGTTTTCTTGCAGGGACGTGAGCTTTAACAACTTGTCAGGTCCAATTCCGGGGACCTATGCAGCATTGACAAGTTCACTAAATTTCATGTAAGCAATTATTGTCATTGTCAGTGTTCATGCAATAAGGATAGCAAGTACATCCAATCTCATATCTTATTGTGCTGTTTGTAATTTATCTGAAATCCATTTCTTACCTTTTCTTGTATAGGTACCTTTCAAATAACAACCTGAATGGAAAAATACCTGATTGGATCTTGAACAGCGCTCAGAAATTGTATGCAATGTCTACTTCAGTTATTAGTATGCATTTCCTTCAGCTATAAAGATTGTCAAACATCGGCATGTTTATTCATCATGACACGGATTTTCTGCAGTGATATTTCTTATAACTCCTTTACGGGATCACCTGCACCAGCTATTTGTCAGCGTGGTAGTGTGTGAGTAGTCGATGGTCTGAAATCCATTGGTTATCTAATTTGCCAAACTTTTCTTCCTTTTTAATAACTGGTTCTCTTGCCTGTAGTAACCTAGTCTCGAGCTATTCTTCCACGAATTCCGATACGTAAGCTTTCAATATACTTGCTTCCTTCCTTCTTTTTTCTTCACAACTTCCAATTATTGATTCTGCTTTCACCATAGAAGGATGCTGGTGTAATTTGACTGCTCCTTTTTACAGGACACTTTCATGTTTAAGAAGAAACCTACCATGTTCTGGAGAATCTAGAAGTGAGTATGATAACTTGCAAAAGTATTTTCGCTTTGTGATAACCTTTGAGCTCATAATTCAGGTTCTGAGAAGATGGCAAAAAAAAAAAGTTTCATGACTTATTGTGTCTGGATTTTATGTCTGTCACAGATTACAACTTGTTTATAAATTGTGGTGGTCCAAAGATGAGAATTGACGACATTGAGTATGAAGGCGACATACTAGATCTGGGTACATCTGAATTTTATGATTCTGAAAGTGGAAAATGGGCCTATAGCTCCACGGGAGACTTTGTTGACAATCAGAATCCAAAATTCATAACTGCAAACACAACGGCACTAGATATCACCAAGCCAGAGTTGTACATGACTGCTAGGCTTAGTCCGCTTTCGCTCAAATATTATGGGCTTTGTTTATTCAAAGGAAACTACACAGTAAATCTGCATTTTGCAGAGATTATGTTTACAGATGATGAAACATATAGCAGCAACGGTAGACGCTTGTTTGATGTGTCAATCCAGGTGATTGATTCCCTCATCAAAATCTTTAATCTCGCTGGAATTTTTCTGTTGTTTTATCTGCACTAACAAAATTTAGTGCTGTATTATCTATCATTTGTCTGTGCTAAAACTAGTTGGAATCTAGTATGTTTCATCACTAGGTCATAGTTTTTCCTCTTTGAGCCACATATTTCTTTTTCTCCTTACTTTCAATTAAATTATTGGAATAATAGTTGTCTCATAATGATTTAATATTGCAGGGCCGAAAAGTTCTGAAGGACTTTAATATTGCCAAGGAAGCTAATGGGACTGGTAAGGAAATTATTAAGTCCTTTACCGTCATGGTAGATGGCACTTTGGAAATTCATTTTTATTGGGCTGGGAAAGGCACAAACTCTGTTCCACTGAGAGGTGTATATGGGCCTCTTATGTCAGCCATTTCTGTTACACCAAGTGAGCCTATGGAAGCCTGTTCCTATTTTATTGTGCATTAGTTACATGTCAATGCTCTAAATCGTTTGCTTTTGTGTAGATTTCAAGATTGATACAGGTGAAAACAAGCTAACTGTTGGAACTATTTTGGCAATTGTTGCTGCTGCTTGCATTATAGTTCTGCTGATTTTATGCCTTATTTTCCTGTATATCAGAAGGAAAAATTCCAAGAATAATGGTAAGGACATTATTTATGCATTTTCTGCTTTTTGTACTTCAATCATAATATCATATCAAAAGAGGGGTTTTGTATCAGCAAGAATAATTCTTCTTTTTGTATTAGCAAATTCACTTCGAATGCATATAGAAAACCAAAATGTTTCAAGAACATTTCTACTGTTGCAATCCAAGCAATCACTAACCTATGTGTAGTCTAGTCCAACGATACCCCAATAACATTTCTACTGTTGCAGTCCAAGCAATCACTAGCCTATGTGGAGTTAGTCTTAGCCAACGATACCAAAATGCTTAAACCTAAATTATCAATACTGCTCTAACTCTATACATACAAATCCTTGCTCTTATTATGTCTTGATAATGAGATTACTTGGGTATCAGAATTTCTCTTGCTAAAAAATTTGACATTATAGGGTGTCACATAGTCAGAGTCCTCACTTAAGCAGGGATGAACCAAGCTTACATCGAGAGTGAAGGAGACACAATGCTAGATGTTAATTGAGGAAGCACAAGAACATACCTTATTCATGTATCGTAATACCAACAGTGTATTTACATTATCCGAACAATAGAACATGTAATGAATTTTTTGCTGATGAAAAATGAACATATTGAACATCATGATGAGATAATTATGACAGATTGCTCTTGAAATGAGTTCAAATTACATAATTAACCATTATACTGGTGATGTATCATTAAACTATGTCTCAAGTATAAAAAAGAGATTGGCTTCATTTTAGGTGTGATTTTCTTTGTTACATAGGTGATTGATTTGTGTCTCTAAATGTTAATTGATTTTTTTATATATTAAACTACCTGTTTTTGTTTAGGAACTTGTCATATTATATTTTATCACCTCACATGAAAGTTTTTCTTTTTTTTTGGCATGGAAGATTCATAAAATGGTTTTGTCACCATTTATCATCAGCTAGATGTTCAACAGGCCTCATACTTAGTGGATTGTCCGAAGATGCTTACACCTAAGCCAGTAGTAGAATTGTATTCCATGGTTAATTCCATCTGTTTGTTATATCGTTATGTGTTGATGGTCATGATATATAGTCCAAAGTCATCCTCTAAGGTTCCAAATGTGGGATTAACAGTCTGTAACACCTAGACACCTCAAATACTATGTCTTGTGAATTATCACCTGGTCTCGCCACCCACGCCACTCATCTTTAACATGTCTTGTGAAGTCCTGAACTACTATTTGATTGTTTCTAACAAATAGCTTACAGTATTCTCTCTGCTGTTAGAAGCTTATGTGAAATATGTAAGATTACATTTCATTATATTTTGATTTTTGATTGAATCAGCGAACAGAATCTAGTGATAATTACCAAAATGAAATTCGTATTGAAGATCATTGTCTGCCTTGCATGAAATAATTCGAGGACCAGTCAGTTTAACATTTGTTATTTTCAAATGAAACACTTGCATGCAGAGCTCAGAGGTCTAGAATTGCAAACTGGACAGTTCAGTTTGAGGCATATCAAAGCTGCCACCAAGAACTTTCATCCTGCAAATAAGATAGGGGAAGGTGGATTTGGTCCAGTTTACAAGGTAAGATATGTGTTGAAAAAATTGAACTTAAATTTCTCACCATTGATCGGTTTCACTTGACTTTTCTTAGCATTGGCCTTACTATTGTAATATTTTTTGTTGCTTGACTCAGGGAGTGTTGCCAGATGGTTCCGAAATTGCCGTCAAACAACTCTCTTCAAAGTCTAAGCAAGGGAACCGTGAATTTGTCAATGAGATAGGTGTGATATCTGCTTTGCAGCACCCAAACCTCGTGAAACTTTATGGATGCTGCATTGAGGGAAACCAATTATTGCTTGTTTATGAATATATGGAAAATAATAGTCTTGCTCGTGGCCTACATGGTAGGTGCTTCTCTAATTATGCTAAAATAACTTTCTCATATATCTCGTTTAATCTCTCCTCTACTATCTTCATTTTTTTGCTAATAGTTATTTATACCAAACAAAATTAACAAAAGTTTCAACATCAATAGGTCCTGAGGGATACCGATTGGGATTGGACTGGCAAACCAGGTGGAAGATTTGCCTAGGAATAGCAAGAGGTTTAGCGTATCTCCATGAGGAGTCAAGGTTGAAGATTGTTCATCGAGATATCAAGGCGACAAATATTCTTCTAGACAAGGATCTCAATGCAAAAATATCAGATTTTGGCCTGGCTAAACTTAATGAAGAAGAGAATACCCACATTAGCACTAGAATTGCTGGCACTTTGTGAGTATCTATTAGTTGTTTTGAGAAAGCAATATTTTTCTGTCAATATTCAGAATTCTTTTGCCATGCTGTACATGTGTAATAAACCATTAAAGAATCTGCATAGCGTATCAAAAAGCAATTCCAAAGTATCACATGTGACTTCAATTAAACATACAGACTGCTATTTGCCAAATCAGTTCTGGTGATACTTTAAGAGTGTCTTCATCAATCCTTTTTTATTAACCAAAATGAAACACATTAAAGGTATGAATTATCGTTCTCAATTTCTTGGAAACACCTCCCAATACTAGGAGTTGGATGCTTTTCTAAAGACTGACTGCAGGGCTAGATGCCTTTTGGTAGATAATAGATGCGTATACATGCTTATCTAATCAACATATGTAGATGCACACCAGAGGAATGTAATATCATCATATAGTACAATTCAAAACAGATACATGTCAGGGTATGGACATCCAGAGAAAGATTGATTTTCTTTTGCAAAAATGCCTGTTAAGAGCTTAGTGTTCAAGACTTGTGATATTGGAAACTAACTTCATATAGATCGCTTCCTTGGCAGTTGAACTTCACAATATGCTCTATTTTTGTGAGGTTGTTGATTATCCGCATTTGCTTCACTAATTAAATTTTATTAATAATCAACAAAAATATCTTATCAATGATCAACGTGTTTGTGGTACTAGAACTATTAATAGAACAAGAATAGATTGATCGTGTAAGTAGCATTTTGTGGCACAGAATTGCAGATCCTAGTTGTTGCTATTCTTAAAGCAAGAGTTTCAATATATGCAGCATATGGAGTTAAACCAAGTACAAGCTAAACATAATTTTGCATTATCTGCTTTGGAAGAACTACAGTAAAGGATATTGCTTTTCTAACAGTGGGTTCTTCCTCAAAGTCAATATCTGGGAAAGAGTGGCTAACAAGATTCTAGTATGATGTATGACAGCCACATAGGCGGCAACAATTTATTAATTACTGGCATGAATATTATTAGTTTTCATTCTTTATAGGACAGTCTTTTGTATTTCACAAAATAGTCTGAGCTTCCTTATAGTAAATGCCTAATGATAATTTCTGATGAATCACAAGTTCAGTGACTCATAATATATGCATTCAGTTGATAATAGACAATCTAGAATAGAAAAATGAAGAAACTTTTTTGCTGGGTTTTTTTAGCATATTTTACCAGCTTTATGATCTTTTTGATGATGAATTTGATCATGCAGAGGATATATGGCTCCTGAATATGCAATGAGGGGTTACTTAACCGATAAAGCAGATGTTTACAGTTTTGGAGTTGTCGCATTGGAAATTGTCAGTGGCATGAGCAACACAAAGTATAGGCCAGAGGAAGACTGTGTCTACCTTCTTGATTGGGTGAGTATAAGCACTCTAAACATATGACATAACATTGTCTGATGACAGCCAAAAAATAATAATGCAACTACAATGTGATGACCAAACTTATCCGGTTGGCTCTCGACCACCAATTAAAATAGTAATTTGCTTCAGGCACTGATCCAGATGTTCATTTTTGTTACATTTTGACCATCTTGTGTTGATAATGTTATAACTCGATTCACTTTATTTGCCTTGCACCATTTCAAGAAGCAAAATGATTGTCTCATTCACATTTGCTTGAATCTTAGAGGGTTCTATTACATTCCTTCAAGAAAACCACTGTGCTTATTTTTTATTATAAAAATTTGGTATTAGGAACATATCATATCAGTGCATCAAGTTGATCAAGCAATAGAAGTCTTCCACAACTATCTCATTTAACCAAAGACCTGCTCCCAAGGTTTCTTGGGACCTTCTCGTCAATTGATTGCTTTTGTGAACTGCTTCTAAATGCTTTCAAATTATTGTGGTGTTCTAATGAGCTTGCCGGTTCCTTTTTCTTCTCTAGGCCTATGTTTGTCATGAGAAGGGAAATCTTCTTGAACTGGTCGACCCTGCACTTGGCTCCAGCTTCTCCACAGAGGAAGCCCTGCAAATGTTGAAGTTGGCTCTTCTATGCACCAACATATCTCCGACTCTCAGGCCCAACATGTCGGCCGTGGTCAGCATGCTCGAGGGGAAGACACCCATAGAGCTCCTCTCTGTGCAGAGCTCAATCACCAAAGGTGATGATCTAAGATTCAAGGCTTTTGAGAAGCTATCGCGTGATAGCCAAACAGAGATCAACTCGACAGATTGGCCATGGCCTGATTCGTCGGTGTCTGCCCAGAGCACAAAAGGAGATACCACTCTGCTTCATTGAGAAGAACTTCGCTGATTATACATGAGAAAGGTATGCCCGTCCACTGGTCATTTTGATTTCACTGTCAAGATATATAGATGGTGATCTTAGTATATGTACATCATGCAAGTAGAAGATGTAACTTGTTGCTTAATTAAATACGGAACATCAAAATGCAGTCAACAATAAAATATGGAAGCTAAAATTTTCCAGACTGAAATTGTGATGAATAAAACTTCAGCAGTTTTTGTCTCTCTAGATTGTGTTTTTTTGGGCTGATAAAAAGTTGTAGATATGAATGGCAAGCTGATGAACCAAACGCCATTCATATATCATCATGATCATATTTTGGTATTTTGGCCTTTGAGGGAGTATGATTAGATCTTTGGTAGGTGATGGTTTGAGAAGATCCATTTAAAAAATGGAGAAAAAATTTGAAGAATTTGGTCTCTTTTTGCCTTCAGATATAACTTTGTTGGCTAAATTGCTTAAGAATCCATTTTGCTCGTCTTTTGTTATTCTTGTTTTCATCTCCGGTGAGTTTATCTCACCAGAGGGTGACAAAATGACAAAAAGAATCAAACAGTGCCAAATCGCTGAATACTGTGTTCTTTCTTTTTGCTGAAAATAGACATCTATTATCATTCCAAAATAATTTAGTACTCAGAAACTTTCCAAAATAAGACCAACCATTACCCTCTAAATTGTACAACAATATGAGGTCGCCCATAAAAAAATTACAGTGAACAACAGCCATTCCCTTTACAAAACTATAAGAATTTTAGGGTATGCAATTCGATTTCGGTGTAAGAAACATTGAGCTCCTTAGTCATCCTTAGTCCTGCTTAAACATAAGACCTGTTCCTGCATATACCCATAAAAAGAAATAAAAGATATATCAGTTTCGATAATACACTCAACAGCAGATAAGTGCATCCATTAAAACAATAATTAACACAACATAAAATGATAGCAGATATCCAACTAACTAACTTATGCCATAATGTAAAATGATAGAATTGTGAGAAGAATTCACATGAAAAATACAGTATGGTATTATTTGATCAATTATTGAACTTTGTCATGGTTAGCTATACAAATCCATCAATGCTGAAGTTGGCAATATTTACCAGCAACATTACAAGGAAACACTAATAACAACAACAACTACAACAAAAAACATGAAACTGATACCATTATTTTGTAAATAATGTTTGTTGGATATATGTGAGCATTACAACAGACACAAAGGTGCACAATATAAGCAAAACGTAAACAAGGATAACACATAATAAGATTCAAGGCAGGCAATGGTTGAAGACAGCAACACTGGTTGTTCTAAAAATGTAACCCTGATCATCACATGTATGTAAGTCTACATTACCATCCGTAATTACTGTCCACGGTGATGGACTAAGATAGGTGCTGTCAAACCAAATGGATGCTCCACTGGTGATCATGAATCGACAGTAATCAAACACTGTTAGCTGAGGCCCTCAGATCTCATAGCTTTAGAAATTCACTGCAGCTCGAAGAATGGTATTTCTCGATGAGCATTTAACATGCATAAATAATGACGATAAAGTGGTAGCGGTGGTGGTGGTGAAGTGGTGAAGTAGTGAAGTGGTAGCGGTGGTGGTGATAATGGTGGCTGTGGTGGTGGTTTTGTTTTAAGACATGAAGAAGGCATGCAGTTAATGCTCAAAAGAAATAGCCATGGAGCAGCTCAAATCAATGATTTCCATCACTGGGCCTCATCTTAAGTGCAACATAACAATGTAAACACAAGGGGAAAAATCAAGACAAAAAAAAAATACTGTTCATTAAAAGATCGGCAAAGAAATTATGGATCAGCATGCAGGTAACACAAAATGAACAGTAAATCAGCCATCTGATTTAATAAAAATAAAGTAAATTGAATATGTTACTAACATCAAATAAAGTGATACTAACAGGCATAAAATATCATGCCAATGGCTGGCACAGCCTGATGTTTGTTTTTCATAATCATTAATAGAGCAAAATTTCTAATATTTGTATAGCTTCATGCCTACCTATAAATAATCACAGTAATTTCTAAACCCAAACAAGTATATTAACGAAGTGTAGAATGAACAGTAAAGACTAATATTTGCAAGTTCTACAGATATGAACAGTACAACTAGCCATTTCTACTAACTGCAACTTGAATCAGTATAGCGATTCTGTAACTCAAAAGATGACACAATGTATTACTAATATGCACAAAATGCCATGTCAGTGGCTGGCAAAGACTGTGATACTGTAATCATAAAAGGGAGAAAGCTTCATATGTTTATACAGACAGACCTATTAAATGCCCACAGTGATTTACTAATCTATGAAACGTACAAGCAAAAAAAGGTTCTTAGCAAACATGACTATGTTTAGAACTTGAAATTACAATTAAACATAGACATTGTCTGACACATATGTTCTGTCACAATTTGATCACCTAACTGTTGATCAAGTATTATAACTATAACACCAACAGAATCTATGGAAGCATCACATCTTTACTTCTAATAAAATTATAAATTATTTAAATACTGTTAAATGCAAATAAATTCAATGGAGCATAAAGAATACTGTAAATAGCAAATATCAGTCTTTCTCTTACCACCCCAAATATCAACAATGCCAACAACATAAGAACAGGTGGACAGGTAAAGAGTCATGTTCACAGCACTCTGTTTAACAAAGAAGTCGATTTGGCAAAGCAAGAAATACTATTTCTCCTCTCTTCCTTTATCTATATGATAGATTACTTTGGTTAATGAAGCCCTCAGATCTCATAGCTTTTCGCATTCATCGAGGCTTAGTGACTGGCTTTACTTATTGAGCACCTTCACATGGCTTCGAAGAAGAAGAAGAAGAAGAAGAGGATAAGTGGAGGTGATGAAGCAGCAAGCATCAGTGCTCAATAGGAAACCACATAAGCCGCTAACGATATTAGATCTTCCATCATCGGGCATCAATCGTAGCAGTAATGTCAACCAAAAGAAGAAGAAAAACAAGTCGCCCCATAAACAGGATTTCATCAAACTTACTCATCCGAAACCATTAGATATCAGAGCTAATAAATCCCCAAAATGCGTAGACAAATTAAACGTATAAGTCAAACAATAACCAAAAGATCAGATCTTTTTCTTTTCTTTGGAAATAAAGATAAAAAAGTAAATATCAAAATGTTGTTTGCGGAAGATGAGATCAAATCCTTTTCATCCGCAGAAGATTACTGCGAATCAGAAAAGAAGTTGCCCAACGGGAAGAAAGAAATCTACGGAACCCTAAACACTGTTATAAAGGTTTAGATACGGCAACAGACCACAGGTTGCCACTATTCACTGAACTGCCATCGGCCGAGCATATATCCATTAAATATTAAGATCCGATCTTGATTACATATATTAACAACTTCTAATTATGAGTAAAATTAACCTATATGACTTAAAAAAGGTATATTTATATGTATATATACACATATATATTATGAGTAAAGATTTTTCATTCCTTTCTTTTATTGTATTTTTCAGTTTGGTTTTATATTATGAATGTTACTATCAATCATATGTTATCGATCACCTACTTTTGGCAAAGCTAAGACATCGTATGCATCAGGGTAATTACATATTATCTCTTCTAATTAACTATAATTAATATTTTAATTTTTATATTTTTAAAAATAATATTAAAATCTTTATACTTATGAAAATGAAACATTTAACATTAATTATCTTGTTAATTTTATCGACGGAAAAAATTACACGTGTTGTCAAGTAAAAAAAATATAAAAAAAAAGATAAAAAAAATAATTTTACTATCTTTTAATTATTAATTTTATATAATTTCATATAAACTTCTTACTCATAGTGTAAGTTTTAATAAAAATTGCTTTTCTTCCCTCCGGTTCCCTCCCCTTCGATTGCGCTGCAAACAACAAACTAGCGGCAGCATCGATGGTGCGTGAGGCCAGTGGTGTTCTTGAGGAGATTCGGGTGCCGCCTTTGACCATGATCAATTTCCTCCTTCCCTCCTCTTTCGCACTAGCATGAAGTCATCGGTCCATGGCAACTAACCCTCCGACCTCACGGTCTCCTTCAAGTTGCAGTCGAGGAACACCGTCCTCGAGTACTCCTTCTATGGCCTCTTGAGGTACATACAGTGGATTACAGGCTTCGAGTAGTAAAGCGCGAGGTACTCGTTGCTCTCGTCGATGGTGCAATGCAAAACATGAAGTCAGTGGAGTGGGTGGGGTTAGTGCGGCCATGTGTGGTGACAGTGTTGGACTCGTCGTGTTGAGGATTAAGCTGGCAAGGGAGGACGAAGATGAGGTAGTTACGGAAGGTGGCAAAGTTGCCGGAGATGAAGTCGATGGAGCCATAGATGCAGTAGGACTTATAGAATTGGCAGAAGGAGTGGGCATAGAGGGTGTCCTTGTAGCCAAGTTACTCCACTAACTCAAGCATAAAGAGGTCACTATCGAAGCAAAAGGCCACAACTTGGTGCTTGTCGGACCCCATGATATTGGTGAACGTTAGGTCCCAAGCCATGGCTAGGTCAGGATTAGACTGAGGATTCATGACAAATTCTTCTTGATTGCAAAAAGGAAACTATACGTGGTAACTCTAAGAAAAGTTAAGTTTGTACTCATCGACGGTGGTCGTGTTATAAGTGGAGATGTCAACCATGTCAACATTATGGGAGCTTGTAATGATCGTTTTGCTCATCCTCGTCTCTGAAAAATACCAAGTTCATCTTCTCAAATAGCACTCTGACCATCTCCTCATACACCCCTTTCTTTATGTAGATCATGTATTGATCGACGTTGTGCTTCGGCGTAGCGTTGACCATCACCTGAACTGCTCTGAGCTTGCACCCGCCCTCGTTGTAAATCGTTACGTCTGACAGTGTCCTTGGTTGGGGGAACTCCTTCCGGCCAGCCTCTTTGCTTGGTGACACCGAGGTGGTGTTCGGCTAGTGCCCGTCGCTCTTGGTCTGTGATAGGGCCCAGAGTGAGATGTCAACATGCTGTGGTGTGGGGTGGCCACCTGGCGATGGCATCGCCGATGACATTAGTGAGGTCAGCGAGGAAGGCCATGGCATCCACCACCTACTGGTTATCGTTGACATATTAGTGGGCAGACCAATAATCGTACTGGTAGAGTTCCACGGCATGTGAGCAGCTGTAGTGGCAATATCTCGTAGAACACCGGGGGATCAATATGCTCTCATGTATAGAACTAGGTGCGACAAGCGAGTAGGTGCGATAGGCATTCATCTCCGACGGGCAAGCAAGATCAACAAAGGGGTGATGGACGAGTAGGTTGGAAAGAGAAGGGGTGGAGGAAATTAGTCATGATCCTCTGGAACATCATTGGCCTCGTGTGCCATCGACACCGTTGCTGGTCTGCCATCCGCAACACAACCGAAGGGGAGGGAACCAGAGCAAGGGAGAGCGATTTCTCTATTAAAGTTTCTACGCTACAAGCGAGCAGTTTATATGAAATTAATAATTTAAAAAATAAATAAAATTATTTTTTTATCCTTTTCATTTAGTTCTTTTTTACATGACAACACATAATTTTTTTCATCAAAATTAACGACATAAAGAGAATTAAAATTAAATATTTTATTTTCGTAAGTATACAAATCCGAATGCTACTTTTTAAAATATAAGGATTGTAATACTAATCATAATTAGCTAAGAGGATAATGTGTAATCCCATCATTCAATGAAGTTTGGCCGATGAGGCATCACTTACAGTGTAATATTACCGAAGCATCCTTCTACGAGACCAGCATGTCATCATTGTCTTATATGCTTTTCTCCCACCTTGTGGGTTGCAGAAGTTTAAGGTTAGGGAAGGCGGAATTGGACAGATCCAACTTCCATTAAAGATGTTGCGGAAAAGGTTACCATCCCACGCAGCCGAAGGAACGCGGGTGGGCACTTACCGGATTACAGAGGAATAACGTCGAGCACTTTCCCTGCAGGATAAATAGTCTGTCCTTCGCGTCCTCCGGGCAACGACCGAGTGCTCGATGCGGAGCCGCGGATCCCGCCTTTCGTTCCATTAATAATGTCGCGGAAGAGATCACCATCCCATGCGGCCAAAGGGACACGGGTGGCCCCTTACGGACTACGAAGGAATAACGTCGAGCACTTCTCGGGCACGAGAAAGCGCCTGTCCACGGATCCCGCATTGCCTTGCACATTGTTCATGTAATCAATAATGGATGTTCCCCGGCCGTACCTCGGCTCGAGTGTCAGCATCGCTTGGCAGAGCCAATCATTCGATCAACTTCAGCCGCCCGATCTGCCGCAGCTATTGGGGTGGAATGGCGGACAGTCGATCGTGCACTCGAACTCTGTTTTGTCCGATGAGGATATGCTTTTATGTTTCATGCATCGCTCCAACCATTCCATTGCTGAGGGATGATCTAGAGCTTGGGGATGATGGGCATGGCTTCACGATGGCGACTGAAACGACAAGTTGAGGCTCCCGTCGGATGCTGATGGCTCCTTCGGTAGAAACCATCGACGGTGAATCTTATCCAAACTCGTGACTAAAACACGACCGTCTTCGATATATGCTCGCAATTAAACCATCCAACTCAAATCATTGCTCTAATTTTGAGAGCGAGTCATGAGTTGACCTGTCATGTTGACTTGACTCGATCCGATATATTACCTGTGTATCCGTTGAACACGAGTCAAGAACTGTTGTCTAGTTGACATGTCACCTTGGATTTGGGTCAGCTCTGTGCACTTGTCTTGTCCGATGTCAATCTCCACGACCGTTATGTATGTTTCGTCAAAGAAATTTTTGATATCATTTTACCTATATATTTTAGAAAGTTTAATATACATAATTAATATTTCATGACAGGAAAGGGAGGAAGTGAACTCTATGGGCATGCATGCAACCGGACATGAAGGTGAAGAGTAAAAAAGCGACGGCAAATGTACGTATGCCGACGATCGATCGGTGGTGGTTAGGGTGAGGAGGCGAGGAACCGGCGGCGGGCGAAGCTTTGGAGCGTGGTGGTGTCTGCTCTGTAGTGGGTCTGCGTGAACTCCAGCAGCTCCGTCCAAGTGAAGTCGGGGAACGCCCTCGGCACCGCCTCCTCCTCCAGCAGCAGCAGCAGCTCCCTTGGCGGCCGAACCACCCTGTCGCCTCTCGGGCACACGAAGAAGGCCAAAGACAGCCGCTCCCTCTCGCTGTTGACCACCGCCCGGTGGAGGCAGCTCTTGTACCTCCCGTTGGACAATGCCTACAACATAGCATACTTCTCACATGCAGCTCATACTTTTCGAGCTGTAAATAATATTGCCGGAAATAATAAAGATTGTCATTAATAACTGTAATGAAATTGTAATCAAGAATGCCACGTGTTATCAGACCACTAAATGCGAGCCGCACCTGAACAGTATCAGATCGCTACGCCAGAACAAAATGCTACCCTACGAAAACGTACCATGAACGTGTCGCCGATGTTGATGACCAGCGCACTCCGGACGGGGCGAACGGCCTGCCATTTGCCCTCCGTGAACACCTGCAGGCCGCCCACTTGGTCTTGCAGCAGAATCGTCAGCGCGGTGGGATCGCAGTGAGGCCCCGTCCCCAGCGCCAGCTCTGGTTCTTGGCACAGCGGGTAGCTGTTGCACCTCATGATGGAGCTCCCGTCCTCGAAGAACTGCCTGTAGTACTCCCTTCCCACGCCCAGACTGATCCCCAGCAGCTCCATGATCGACAGCGACAGATCCTTCATGGCCTCACAGTACCTCCGGTACACCCTCCTGTTTCACGAATCGTTCATGCTCGATCGGTATCCGACTGCGGCATAAAGTTAATAAAACACCGTACCCCATCGGCTCGAATCCTTCCCCGAGCTTCGACGTGAAGTAGTCCACGACACCATCCCCGCGCTCGCCGTAGTCGTAGCCGAACGTGAGTGTCTCCTTCCACGGCAGCTTGGAGGCGAAGCGATCGGCGTGGGCTCCGACGTAGCCCCACGCGCTCCCGGGCTGCCTCCGGGCCCTCAGTTTGGTGCTCAGGGGGAGCTTGAAGAAGTCCCCGGCAGCGTCAAGGGCGTCGCCGGAGACCTTCGCGTCAACCTTATGGTTGATCACTTGGAAGAATCCGTGGCGCACGCATGCGGCCCGGCTGGCCTCGGCCGCGCGGCTGATGGAGGCCTCGTCGCCCTCGAAGAGTCCTCGGAGGTCGACGACGGGCACCTCGAGCTCCTCCAGTGGGTGAGGCCTGTCGTTGCGAGGCCAGACGAATGACTCGGGTATCTTAGCTTGTCTCCGGAGGAAGGAGGTGTCGAAGACGACGGCACCGTTGCTGCAGTGGCCTTCCTCCTTGTTGAGGTCTAAAGTGACAGGAGAGACGGAATCCATGGGAGACAAAGAGATGAGATCGGTGAAAGAAGGTTCGGGTTGCTGGTGGGGCTATTTGTAACGACGGGCGGAAGGAGAAGACGACAAAAGGCGAGGAGAGATGGTAAAGAAGAGGGAAACAGGGGTTTAAGACACTTGTGAGTTTGGATAAATTCGATGACGCTAAATGAAGCTAAGAATGAAGGGCGTTAGTGGTGTAGAACTTCCATTGTCGTGGTCCAAGAAAGCTTCTGCATGGGAATCTCTTGTGAAGCTGAAGCCAAAAGCTGGGGTGACTGACGCCTATGATAGCGTCTCCCTCTTGTTGCCTTGCTTTCATCTCTTTGATCCAAGTCTCGTGTCACCTTCCTCAACCCTTTTGATGTGATTTAAGATATCTCTCAAGGATAGGATTAAAGGAAAAGCTTATCTTTGTGTATCTCACTATAAAGGTTGCCTTTTTTTTTCTTCTTCTCCTTTTGAAGCAGTATAGAGGATGTTGAAGAATTGACTGTATCAGGGAAATAAATCGTCTTCTTTCTTCTTCTTTTCATCATATAAATCTTAGATATAAATTTATAGACTAAGATTTCTAACCCATGCATCCTCTCTGGCACAGTGCAGGTAAGGATTAGTAGATCACCTGTCCTGACTCCAATTGCATGTCACACTCTCTAGCTCACCAATTTGGGCAGGCAAACATGCTTGGAATCTTTGCAGTGTCATCCCTTCCCTTTGTGTCGAGCTTGGTTACTAGGATGTGTTAGCTCTTGGGGGCAAATAGATCCTAAATTGGATGTGTCTCAAGGACGCAGATTTAGTAGCATGTCGTTGGTCTCAAGATGAATAGGGAAATGGGGCCTGTCACCATGGCATCTTACTACCGAATTGTATAATCTCATCATCAACGCATGATTCTTAGAGCTTCTAATTGTATATGTTCTAAGGGGTTTTTGAAGGTTTCTTTTCTATCTCAATCATATCAGGAGTATTTTTGATAAATATCCCTCTAATATTTAAGTTAGTCTAAGATTTGAAGGTGGTATATAAATGTGTAGTGCATTTGGCAAACCTTTTTATGATGGGTTATTAGGACAACTACTCTTGTAATTAGCATTGGTTATGAGAAGTTGTGTATTTCTATCAAGCTTAACTACGATCATGCCACGCTAAGTTTGATGATACAATAATAGTTTGATCGATTTAATAACGTGACATTAATATATTGTCCTATACGACGTCGAGGTGTTAAACATATATTGATCGTATGGTTATGAAGTATTAGATGCATATCATGTGAGATTGAAGTATCGATCATATTCCTTAGCCCCATCCTACTTAATTTTTATATTTTAATTATTTTAATCCTAATATTATAAAAAAAATATTAATTCGAAGATATCATGATCAAACCATACTAATTCTTAAACTTGTTTATTAAGAGGAGTATGTAGTTAAAAAAGAAAAAAAAAGGTTTCCTTGTCCTTTTGACTCATAGACATCAAATAAGAGATTTGACCTTAAATTGGTCTAGCTAAATATTTATAATTATTCCAAAATATTGAAATTTATTGAAGTTTATTTGAGAATTTTTCTTTTTTAATCCTTTCTTGGTGTGAAAATGCAGTTGCATATTAGTTGATGGATCTTTTTATAATTACAAATAAGTTTTTAAATATAAAAAATAGAGGACAAAAATCTAAATAAAATTCAAAGGATTAGGGTAATTTTGGGCTCCATAAATTAGATCAAACATGCAATTGAGCATCATAATATCAATAATTGCTTGAAAATAGACACAAATAATAAACTTCATCTCGGAGAATCCGATGACATATTTACATTGGAGAATAACATGACATGATTAACATACATACATACAAATATATATGTATAAATATATACATATATATGTATATATATGTATATATGTATATATATGTATATATGTATATATATGTATACATACATATATATGTATACATATGTATACATAGATATATATATACATATGTAAATGTATATATGTATATATATACATTTACATATATATATACATATACATATAT